GTTACTGCTTGACCGGACCCATATACTGTCTTGGTGAATGTGTATTACTCTGCGAGGCTCCTGACTACAGTAGCCGTAATGCTCCAACAATCCATCAAGCGGTGCGGCTTTGTAGCTTACCAAAGTCGTACTAAAACATTATGACAGATTTTTGAGCCCCGTGAACCACATAAAGGTATAAGGTATTATAAGGTATTATAAGATGCACAGTCGATTTTGGAGAAAATTAAAGGATTTTAAGTGCACAAACACAACGGATTCCAGGCACTCCAAACAAGTAGAAAATTTAACACATCGCACGAGGAAAAATATAGTTAAAAATCCTTTATTTGATTGGCCAAAGCCGACATGTTTCGACCTTAACTGGTCTTCATCAGGGCTTAATTAAAACAGAACATGGGCGTGGCCTTCAAGTAGAACACATCAACCAATAGCAGGATGGAGTCAATTGGAGGCAGACAAAACAGGAGCACAGGAACAGGACATGGTACAGGCAAAAAAAAAAAAAAAAAAAAAAAAAAATCATCAAAAAACAACAACACATTATCCAAATTTTTTTTTATATTTATTGTTTGTATCATAATTTTTATATTTTTATTATATTTTATTATATTAGTGTTATTATTTTTATCATTTATTATTTATTATTATTATTGACATCATTATCAATAATAACCATAATAACAATAATATACACAGAGAATCAGCCTACAGTGGTTGTAAATGCAACATTAATAAAAGAACATATTATAAAAAATTATATTATAAAATAAAATAATAATAAAAAAATAAAGGCCTTTTAACTACATTTTTCCTCGTGCGATGTGTTAACTTTTTCTACTTGTTTGGAGTGCCTGGAATCTGTTGTGTTTGAGTTTTGATCCTTTTCCCAAGAGCACCCTCTACTTGCTCCTACTGATCGGAATACCTGCAGCAAACAGCCACATTTTTGTTCTTTCTGCACAGATTTTAAGTTCACCTTATAGTCCGAAAAATACTGTGAAATACAGGTGGTTTTATAGCTCAAAAATAGGCTCACAGGTATTCTGACTGTGAGTGGGGTCGTCTCTCCACAGATCTGACCTGTAACTTGGTCTGGTTTGGGCTCCATAATGATAGAAAGGTTTAATCCATACTGTGAAACATTCCAGACAAAGCAACAACATCTCCACTTGACCCTCCATCAGAAAAGACACACAATGCACCTTTCAACACTAAAACCACCTATCAATGAATAAATGCCATAGATATGTTTAATGTTGTACTGTAGAACATTCCAAACCAATAACCCCTCCATGGTGACAAGCAGGTTTGGACAGAAAAGTTACACAGTGCACCTTTAAACCCTGAACCGTCTTGTATGTATGGAGCTCTGTTTGTCAGTCTCGCTCCATCATGTTTGCTCTGGGACAACCGTGAACTGTGACGCAGGAGGAGATTACGTCACCGTGTGGATGAAAAGAGGAACTGGTGTGATAATAATTTAAACTGAAATCATTTGGATCGGGCCCAGGCCTGGAGTTCCCTGCTGCGATTGAGGTCGATTGGGTCGGGCTCTGGTTCGAGGAGTTTAGCTCCCAAATACAGTGAGTGCGTTAATAGTAGGGAGTAGGGTTTTCAAATGAATCGAAAATCAGATACTGACCTGTCCTAAAATTAGTATCAATACTCAAAAAATCACATTAAAAGACAAAATTTGACTTTCCCTAAAACTTTTTTTTAGAATGGAGATTTATCAGAGCTAGTTTACGACCATGGAAACTAGAGATGAACTGATATGTTTTTTTCATGGCTGATGTTGATAAAGATTGTAACCGATGGCCGATAAGCTCTGTCAATATTTTCTGGCTGATATGCAAGACTGATTCAGATTATTTTCCCCAAATGATATCATTTAAAGAGACCAGTTTGGAATTTTGGACATAGGACCTCATTTCCTAGTGAGGCAGAGTGTTGGAGACGTGTGGAGTCACTTTTTGAAATATTCCATCCAGTCCTTGTATTTGCAGAGGTCACTGGTGCTAGGCTTGTGCATGTCAATGGCCATAGTTCTCCTGACACTAAAAACTGTCTTACCCACTCCACAAAACACCCCAAACAAATCTGTTATTACACTAGACTGTCCATGTGAATGTCTGTGTTGACAGAATAATGTTTGAAATAAAACTAACCTTGTATCACATGAATTGTTTCATGTCGAGGGACTATTTTCTCATATATCAGTCCGCTGATGCCAAACTTTCTATCAGTAAGTATAACTTGCTGCTGCTCAGACATAAATCCTTCAAATGCAAGGTCACTTTTACTTCTAAAATTATTCTTATCAGCCTTCGGTTGCAATCTTTATCAACATCAGCCATGAAAAAAACATATCAGTTCATCTCTAGTTTCCATGGTCTTATACTAGCTCTGATAAATCTCCATTCTAAAAAAAGGTTTAGGGAAAGTCAAATTTTGTCTCTTTAATGTGATTTATTTTTTTGAGTATTGATACTAATTTTAGTACAGGTCAGTATCTGATTTTCGTTACTTTTGAAAACCCTACCCCCCCCATATTAACGCACTCACTGTATTTGGGAGCTCAAGTCCTCGAACCAGAGCCCGACCCGACCGACCCCAATCTGGTGTAATAATAGACTTGTTTGGGGTGTTTTGTGGAGTGAGTAAGACTGTTTTTAGTGTCAGGAGAACTATGACCATTGACATGCACTAGTCTAGCACCAGTGACCTCTGCAAATACAAGGACTGGATGGAATATTTCAAAAAGTGTCTCCACACGTCTCCAACACTCTGACTCACTAGGAAATGAGGCCCTATGTCCAAAATTCTGGACTGTCCCTTTTGGTTTTTACAAACACATCCATAGCTCTATTTTACTACAAACTGGATAAGAGGGTGATGCAGTGTCATTTTGTGCACAATCCTCTTCATAGTAGTGTTCAAATAAAACTTTATTCAGATGTATTTTACAGCTGCAGAAACAACCTATTGGCGTCTCTTGGCTATTAGAGGCCGATAGCCGATACGCTAAAAAGTGCAAATATCGGCATTAGGGATGGGCATGATTAGTTGATTAATCTCATTAATCTAATTAATTGATCATTAACATCGATTACGTTAATTTTAATCGACAAACCGAATGTAGGATGCTGTGTGTAGCGTGACTAAACAGGGTCTGTACATGTGTCTCTCTGCACTCAGAAGGAGCGAGACACAAACAGTCAGTCCGCCTGCAAAATACCGAAGTGCATATGCGTATTTAACAATGACTTGTACAAGAAATTCGATGCTTTCCGTTGCGTTCGGGACAAGTGTGAGTCCATGTGCACAGTGTAGAAAGCAGCACATATTTTTCAGTGTCCAGTGGGAAAAAGTTTTGCCAGGTGAGAGTCGCTCAATGTCGATGACGAGTCCCTACCTCCCACCCCCCGTACGGTGTCCTGGTTTTGACAAATGGTCACACTAACCTGTATTCCACTGAGTCATGTCTTTTAATCCGACAGAAATTGAACCACATCAGCGACACAAGAGCTGTAGTTTTATCTTCACTTAGTTTATGCAAATTAGCAATGAGGTTTTAAGTTTTGTTTCTGTGAGAGTTGCGCAAAACTGAATTAAACACATTATAATGTCAAACGGGCTGATGTGGCTCTAGAGTGGTTACGGTTTATTTGTCATGAAGTTGAATTTATTTATGCAGATTAGTGCAAATAGTAATAATAATGATGATCATTTTAATATAAAAACCTTAATGATTAATCGATAATCGATCGTTAAATCTTCCGACAATCGATTAAGAAAATTTCATCGAATGCCCATCCCTAATCGGTATTATATATCGGCAAACCTATACATCGGTCTGTCTCTAATGGAAACATTACTGAAACTACTACTATATTGTGTTTAAAGCATTTTTAAACATGCTGAAATATTATATAACTGTATATCTGTATATAATTTGTATGGCAGTCAAATATCGAGCCTTTTCCTTGATATCAATATTTTGTGAAACTAAATTTGTATTTTTTGTATCGTTTATTGATGAAGTGTGAATAAAAAAAACTGAACAATCCCTCTCTCAGCTGCGACTTGGAGCGGTTTGGTTAAACATTAGGACATTAGTAGTTTTGCTGTGCTGTTGTGTCTTTGCTTTTGAAGGATGCTCGCGTCAGACCAGACCATGTGTTCACCGAAGAACTATTCATTTATTATGGGAAAAGGCTGCGGTCTGGCAAAAATACACTCCCAACAGATAAATGTTGACAATTTTTGTGTTCAATAGCACTGATTACTTACTTACTGTACATACATTTATATAATTTATGTCTTACTTGACCACCAGTCTCTTGCTATTTTCTTTATTGCTACTTATTTACTATTTGTGATTATTGTGACGTTTAAGCCGCTGTGCCCAAATAATTTCTCTTGTGGATCAATAAAATCTGTCAATGTCTAAGTCTAAGATTAAAAGTCTGTATTGTTGATATTCTGGAAATTAATATTGTATTTATTTGTTTTTCTTTTCACGTGCAATATGTAACTTTTCTAGTAGGGAACTCCGTCACACACACAGTCTCCATAGTGATATTATTTCTCTCCCGTAATGTTCCACAGTATGGCAATAAACTGTTAAATCCTCTTGTATTTTTGTCAATTAGGCTTGTTTTATTGCTTAAAAATACACTGGAAACTTGCATCGAAGCTGTTATTTGTAACTTTTTACATCACCTGCTTGACCCCATAAAGATGTTTAATGCCATACTGTGGAATTTTACAGGCAAAGCAGTTTTTTGTTTGTTTTTTATTTATTGAGTATTCCATTAGGATTTGCAGTGTGTTGCTTTGTCTGGGGTGATTTTACATTAAACATTTCATAATATAATAGTGTTGTCGTAATTTATTTTTGTTATATCACAATAAAACATAAAAAGACATAAAAAGAAACTCACAGTTCACATTTATATATCTGCTTATCTTATCGTATCTTGTCACTCGTGCAGGTGGGGGACATCGTGCGTGTGGCTAAAGACGAGACTTTCCCTGCCGACCTGGTGCTCCTGTCCTCAGAGCGACCTGACGGCACCTGTCACATCACCACGGCCAGTCTGGACGGGGAAACCAACCTCAAGGTATTTACCCTCATCGCTGTTACTATGGCAACCGCATGCACCATAGAGACGTTAAGTGATGCAACTTCACAGCTGATTTCTAGCCTTGTTTTTTGTTTCTTATTCATCAAACAGGAGACGGTTACCTTTCCAATGTTTAACCGCAAAGTGTAAGAAATATGTTAATAATGTGGTAAGAATCTAGTAAAACAGCATTACCAGTATTTAATGCTCTACTGTTCTCCTGCTATGTCTGTGTAGTCAAGATGGTGGCACACCCTTCACCACAAAAGTTACATATAAAATCTAAAAGTATTTTAAACCTGATAAACAGTTGTCCCTCGGTATATTGTGGTTCACCTTTCGCAGTCTCGCTGTTTTGCTGATTTTTTGTGTGCAATTTTGCATTGTTTTTATTATTTTTAATTATTTTTTGGCGTCCTGATTGGCTAACAGACTGTAGACCATTGTCAATCAATCTCCTCCATGCCGTGTCTCCTGTACAGTACAGAATGTGTTCAGCTCTCAAATGTTCGATCACTAGCAGTGTGATTCTGAAGTGCTGCGCAATCTGGCAATTGCTGTGCTTAACTCCGTGAGGTGCGGAGCTCTCTGTAGGTCCTTTCTCCTACGGTCACCTCCAAGCCTGTCCCGGCAGTGAGTCCTGGTTCAGTCTTGGTTTACTCCTGTTTTAGTCCAGTTTTAGTCCTAGTTCAGTCCTGGTTTAGTCCTCCTGCTTCAGTCCTAGTTTAGTTCTGGGTTAGTCCTGGTTTAGTCTTTGTTCAGTCCGTGGCGTAGGCAGCGCAAAAGTTTGATATAATCTGAGGTTAACGGGCAGGTGCGGTGTTGTACTGCTCGGGTGCGGTGTTGTACTGCTCGGGTGCGGTGTTGTAGTGCTCGGGTGCGGTGTGTACTGCGGGCGGTGCGGTGTGTTGTACTGCGCGGGTGTGGTCGGGTGCGGTGTTGTACTGCTCGGGTGCGGTGTTGTAGTGCTCGGGTGCGGTGTGGGTGCGTGTTGTACTGCGGCGGGTGCGTGTTGTTGTGCTGCGCGGGTGCGGTTTTGTGCTGCGCGGGTGCGGTGTTGTGCTGCGCGGGTGCGTTGTTGTACTGCACAGGTGCGTTGTTGTACTGCACAGGTGCGGTGTTGTACTGCACGGGTGTGGTGCGGGTGCGGTGTTGTACTGGTTGTCTCCAAAAATGGACCCGTGCAGGACTCTGCACTGTAGGCTCCATTATGGAATAAATGAATTTTGGGTTTGTTACATAAAAAAGGAGGAAAACAACAAAAGGAAGCAGCAATAAGTTTTAAGAAGGATGTCTGAGAAAAGTGTATAAAGTGTGGTGAGGGGTTTTACAGTCTTAACACAGATAAAATCATTGTAAAATATAAAGTTGAATACTTCGTGGATTTCACCTATCGCAGGTTATTTTAGGAACATAACCCCCTCGATAAACGAGGGAATACTGTAGTCCTTTTTTAGACCTTCTTTAGACCTGGTGGGGTCTGGAAAGCCACATGTTGTCTAATGTGTTTCTTGGTGTGAAAGATACAGTAATTGATTTCAATGTATTAATTTTGGTTTTTAGAATATAAATAGAAAGATACAGTTTTAATTCAGTTCTAAAATCTAGATTTCAAAATAAAGTTGCAAAACATAGTGAGATATACACTCTGGTAAATGCCACTCAGTGCTAACACTAAAGGCCACCACACACTACAGGATTTTTCGGTCTTAAACGATTTTTAAATGTGCGACAAAACACGCACTCCACAGACACAAGGAGAATTTTATGAGACTTAAAATGTGTTGTTATTATTTGTGAAATGTGGTGCAATACTTCATGATTTTTAAAGTGTGAATCTTTCTTTGTGTAAATGAATGTGATTTCTGCCTGAAACCCAGACCAGTCATGAACATGTGTAAAGGTTCATCAGGCACAACTGTCTCCTCCTTCAGGAAGCCTTTTGTTGTCCTCAACTGTATGTTCATTTAGCACCAGCCTCTGAAACCAAAGTCACTCTGCATTGATATGTATGTAACTTGTATTTCTGTATAAATAATCAGAGCTCAAATGCTCTGGGGGAGATACGGGGCAGATACTGGGGAGAGACTTGGAAGATGGGGCAAGATGTGGTAGAACATACTGCTGGTGGAGAGAGGCTGTTGGGCTTTGGCCAGAACAGACGTAGGCCCTGTCCATATCTGCTGTAACAAGAATAAACCTTGGTCTATAATCCAAAAACTCACCGGCCTTCGCAAATGGATTCATTATTTATCTTCAAGAGATACATAATCATTTTTGCCACAACAAAAGCATAAAAGATTGGAGATAAAGTCCACAGGAAGTAGAGTCACTATCGCTAATCTGCAGCTTCACCTTGATCCACACACATGAGGAACTACTTTCACTATTTCCTGACTTTGTATCTTGCGTCTCTGTGTCCGTCACTCCTCTGTCCCTGACGCTGTGTTTTATTGCCGGTTACTGTAGCGTTGCTGATGTTTGGTGGTTATGATCTGACAGAGCAGCTCAGAGTCACACTGACACCACACACAAGGAGCGCACACAAGCACACACACACACACAAGAAGTGCAGCAGCTTCAGAATCACACACAGTCACAGTCGGGTCAGACCACCTCGAACTCAGGGAGAAGCAAATCACAGCCAAAATCTCCTGTAGTGTGTGGCAGCCTATCACAGTTATAACCATAGATCCATACTTGTTGGCTTTAAACGACTGCAGTCTCTTTTTAACATGACGAAAAGAGGAAACTGTAAAATGTTCATTGTTTTCAGTCAGGAAGTGACATCACATTTATCAGCTCTATAGGTTGGTTCACATGGCAACAACCTTGTAAACTGTCCATATCTTAAAATGGAGGCTTTGGGCATATAAGGATTGTATGGTTTACTTTTTAACTGTCAATATGCAAATCCAGGCACATCACCTGCATGATTCCATGGAAATGAAGTTAAAACCATACTTTGGAACATTCCTCATGGCAAGAGATACAAGTTATATGGCATACTGTGGAATATAATAGCCAAAGGAAAAGCATTTCCATGGAGACAAGTAGGAGGAGGCCAAGTAAGAGTCAGGTTTGGAGGTGCAAGCCTGCTCACAGTAAGGATGTAGTTTTTTGGACATTTCTTAATACAAAATATTCAAAATAACAACACAAAATTTTTCATAAAGTTATATAATTATTGGATCCATCCGTATGAAAAATGTTCAGACAACATGTGATGGTATAATTCAGTCATAGACCTGTTGTCACTTAAAATTACATAAAGACTTAGACCACGTTTACACTGAAACGATTCACTGTATCTTCGTATCTTCGTCAGAAACAATTTGCATCCAGACACGTCGTTTCTGTGTTTGCAAGCCTTCCTTATCCACACAGCTTTGAGCATATTTGTTTACGTTGTACAGAAACAAAACCTCATGGCTAATTTGCATAAAGTAAGCACTTAAAAACTGCTCGCTATTGTGCACTGATGTGGTTCAGCTTCTGTCGCCCTAAAGGACACGCTCAGTGGAATATGAGTGTTCTTTCTGTGACAGAGGGCTGTTCTGCTGATGGTGAGTCTGTTCTGTGTTTCTGTCGTGTTGGAGATGGTTCATGTGTTCAGAGTTTCACATGAACCATGAAGGTCATATGCATAGACCATATACTATATATGAATGGACAGATATTCTTGCCTCTTAGTGTTTTGGTGGTGAATTACTTCTCGGCACATAGACCTACATCAGTGTATCAGTGTTTTCAGGCGTCCACACAGTGCTGGATCAGATCTGTACTCAGATGAATTTGTGGGAGCTGGTGGCACCAGATCGTTTCGTCTCTAGAGCCATTTTCAGTGGAATTAGTGTGAACGAACACTACATCCACAATGAAAACCACTCGAATACACACTATTGTGGACGGGGCCTTAGACAATTATTATTATTGATCCATAAGAGAAATTATTTAAACACAAGAACTCACACATCACAATATATTTTACTAACAAAGAGAAAAAATGTAATTGGTAATAAGAATAGTTTGTGAAGCCAGTATCTAACAAAGAATAGGTTCATTTTCTGTTAAGATATTTTGGTTAAAACCTTTGCCTCTCCTATAGAGTCACTTAGTCCCTGCCCTCCATCTGAATTTGTGACATATGCGTATACATTTTTGTCTTTTATTTAATATATTGGGTTTTTAGTCATTGCTGTTTTTTCTGAAGAATGAACCTTTTTCCAGCGCTCTCAACCTCTGCTGGGAAATGGGAGTCTAATGGATTAAAAAAAACCTCTCAACTGAAACCTCTTCATTTGGCTTAAATTTAGTTCACATTTTGTTGTCAGTGATTAGTTTTGGTCTTTTTCATCAAGTGGTTTATACCCAATCCTCTGCCAGGAAAAGAATGTGGTTTAAAGCAGAGTTCAGACTTTGGAGGAAGAGTTTTGGGGATTTTTTTTTTTTGTGTTAAATGGCACTGTCATGTTTAGGTTCAGGAAATTAAATGTGCTGTACCTGATTTGGACTTTCTTAAAAACATGAAAAACAGAACTAGTTCATCATTTCAAACAGTTTGCAGTGGCCCAGAGTTATTCCTCACTTACCTTATGCATTCACAACAACCTAATTATTCACCGTGATGGGCTCACAGATCAGAGTTTTACCATCACAGTAATGCTGCTGACAACTAGCATGCTAACAGTGCACTTCCTGATTCTCGGACAATAAATAGCTTTACAGTTAGATGTGGATGGGATACGGCAAACTTATTTTGACTGAAAATTGTGTACAGGGACTTAAATCTGGAAAGCCATTTTTTATTAGTTTGTAATATTTTCATTTTAAACCAATAATGATTAAAACTGATCTTGAGCTTTGGATCTGCCTGACAGACTGAGGGATTACACAGATATAAGACCACATAGGAGGAGAAAAGAAAAGTACTACGATAATATTGAAAATAGGGATGGGCATGATTAGTCGACTAATCGATAATTGATCATTAAGAATTTTGTCGATCACGTTCATTTTTAATCAACAAACTGAATGTAGTTTGCTGTGCGTAGTGTAAGGAGACGAGGCTGCGTCTGACACAAACACTGGAGCCTCGGCCTCACAGTCCCACGTTTGGGCTCTGGCTCCTTGGAGACACTGTTCCACTCAGGGTTACAGTTGAGTCACAGTTGAGTCACATGCATCCAAAAGACAAACACTTTTCAGTCTTTTCATCACAACAGGAGCCATAATGAATAAAGCGACCAAAATAAATAAAGTGAAATGATGTTAAATAAAGAGCTGCTCTAAACCTGCGCACGTCTGATCTCTGAAAACATGAACCATCTCCAACACGACACACACACACACACAGAACACACTCACCATCATCATCTTCATCAACATCCTCTGTCACAGAGAGAACATATTCATATTCCACTGAGTTTTGTCCTTTAATCCGACAGAAGCTGAACCACATCAGCGCACAAGGAAAGAGCAGTTTTTTTCAGAATTTATATTTAAGACATGAACAAATGTGTCAAAGCTGCCTTAAACACATTATAATCTCAAACGGGCTGATGTATATGTTGTAAAATTGATTTATTTATGCAGATTAGTAATAGTAATAATAATAATCATAATTTTAATATAAAAGCGTTCATGATTAATTGAAAATCTATCATTAATTCTCCCGATGATCGATTAAGAAAATTTTATCTCTAGTTGAAAATCACATTCTGTCTAAATCATCAGGGTATCACAATCTGTCCTGAGTATCGAATCTATTCGTTAGTATTGAAATCAAGTTTTATATTCATTTTAATATCGTCACACTTCATACTACATGCAGTTCTTTTTTTTTTTCTCCTTATCACGAGCCCTACTTTACAAAGAGCCTTTAAATAGTCCCTGTTGTCTCTCCTGTCCCTGTCTTAAGCGCTCCTCTGTGTCGTTTTGCCAGAGGCCAAATTCTTTAATTGTCTCGTTAATCAGATGCGGCTTCATCTGTTACTGTGTATATTTATAAAACCTGGAAGCTTTTAAATCCTTTGGCCAAGAATTCTAGTGTAAAAATCCTCATTATATTTATAACACCAACTTCCCCTCCATCTGATCAGGCTCTATATTGTTTTTATATAGGTGTACAAGCTGGTTAAGACACACTTTTGCATAACAGTAAAGTTTTTTATCGACTCTTAAAATAACAATTGCTTTTATTGGTTCTCCAGCTCCTCATGTGCAGTTTCAGTTACATATTGGCATTACTTCTTGTTCAGAAAAGATGCACTGTGTAGCTTTTCTGGTGCTTCTTTCCATGGAGATGTTATAACTTTGCTTGGAGTATTACACAATATGGCATTAATCAACTTCTGTCTTGCATTATTCAATGTACGGCTGTCATGGTTCATGTTTTGTAGTCGTTGTTTTTGCTTATTTTGATATCTTTTTAATGTAGTGTAGTGTGCCTTTAGTGTTTTATTTTGACATTTGTCGTGTCAGCTTGTAGTTTTGAGTTTTACTTCCTGTCTTGATTGTTTGCCCCGTCCTAATGTGTTTCACCTGTGTCTGTGTGCATTTATACCCTGTGTTCTCGTCTGCCTTTTGTTGGTCCATTGTCTCTGTCAGAATTTCTCCTTGTCTCGTGTCATGGCATTTTAGTCTTGAGTTTTGGATTTTTTTGGTTTTGTCGTTAAATACTTTGAAGCAGTCCTGCATTTTGGGTCCTCCCTCTGTTTCTTCTCGACAACAGCTGTTTTTATTGCTCAAAAATACCTTGAAAAAAATTCCTTCTTACTGTGAGTGGGATTGCCTCTTCGCAGATCTGACCTGTGACTTGGCCTGGTGTTGTCACCTGCTTGTCTCCGTGGAGATAGCTTACTTTAATGCCATACTGTGGAACAATTAAGGCAATTTCTCTGTGGAGTCAAGCTGGTGGCAGACCCTTTGTCAGAAAAGTTCCATAATACATCTTTAGGTATTTTAGTCTTTATATATTGTCTTTTATTAGACCTGGAGGAATCTGGAATGCCAAATATTGTCTTTGTGTTCCCTGGTGTGAATGATACAGTTTTTAAACCACATTTTAGTCTGTAGTTGTCAGTCAAAACAATTCTAAAATCTGCATTTCAAAATTAAGTACAAAATTGGATCTTTCTAATTACAACTGACAATTGGAGCGGGATAAACAAACATGCACATTTTCTCTGCAGCAGAAGCAAAACTGCCATCCGCTGTCATCCATCACAACAAAACCCTTTAAAAAATAACATTTGTCTTTTTAAATGAATTAAATGCTAATTATATTGAATGAAATTGCCCCTCAAATGGTAAACGGTTTAGCCAAAGGTCTCTGTCAGAACAGATCTGATTAGAGCAGTCATTCAGAGAGCGTATCATTTCACTGCTGTCTAGACTCTGGGGCAGGATACAGGGATGACACGACATCACACAATATCAGGCATGAATGCAAAGAGTTGATATGGAATTTTTGAGCTGATTGCAACATCTGATATTAACTGATATTAAAGATGCATTGCGTAACATTTCTAGTGGACGGTCTGCCACCTGTTTGTCTCCATGGAAATGCTATTTCTTTGTTTAGAATGTTCCACAGTATAGATTAACACTGTCTGTGACAAGGGAGACGAGCAGGTTACAACACTACGCTACATTACAGTTCAGTTCTGTGGAGAGTCGCCTCTATTCACAGAAGGAATTATTGTGTTTTGAGCAATAGAAACACCTGTAATGAATAAACGCTAGATGGAAATGTTTAATGTCATAGCATGGAACATTCCAGGGAAGGTAATAACATCTCCATGGAGACAATCAGGTAGCAGACCCTCCACTAGAAAAGTTGTGAAGTGCACCTATATATGTCTTACAGTTATTCAATTTTTGATGGTGTTTTTGATAGCTGAAAAACACTTTGAAAAACATGCGTTCTTACTGTGACTAAGGTCGCCTCTCCACAGACCTGACCTGTAACCTGAGCTAATGATGTCACTTGGTTTGTATAGATAGATACATAGATAGTCGATTAGAAACTGTGAAGCATTCCAGGCAAAGCACTAATATCTCCCTGGAGACAAGCATGTGCACCCTCCATCAGAAAAGTTGCACTGTGCTTTTTAAACCTGCCCATGTCTCTGAGTGTTTCTGTTGTTCTTCATGGTTAATATTGTTCTTGTATCTTGTATTTCAGACTCATTACTCTGTGGCAGAGACCTCTGTGTGTCAGTCGGTCTCTCAGCTCGAGTCTCTGCAGGCCGTGGTGGAGTGTCAGCAGCCAGAGGCCGATCTGTACAGGTAAAACACACTAGTTACACTGTGACCATATGCAAATGTTATGGTGTTAAACTAGCAGATATTAGGTGATACAGCTTTTCAGTTCCAATATCAATGTTGATAAGAGTACTTCAGTTCAGAACCTGATACCAGGTGATTCAGCCTCAGAAGAGGATGTGGGCCTGCTGTATTGTTTTTTTTGGTCCACCATCTGATAAAGAAGAACTGTGAACTTCCTGTGCAAGTGAATTATGAAGACAAAGCTGTAACCCATTTCTTTGCAGTCAAATCAAAATTCATCAAAATTGAATAGGCCTTTTATAGGAAACTTGTTTGGTGACATTTGCTTCAGCTTTGATGTGGGAATTGTCAAAACCAACAACTCCTCAGTCTACTGTGTATCAGACCATGACCCCACACAGCACTTTTACTTAGATTAGATTAGAAATACTTTATTATCCCGAAGTGAACTTCTCTTTATATTTACCGTATTTTCCGAACTATAGGGGCTCTGGATTATAAGGCGCACTGTCATTGAATGGTCTATTTTTGAACTTTTTTCACATATAAACCGCACCGGACTATAAGGCACATTAAACGAAACACAACAGTTAGATAAGTCAGTCAAACTTTATTTAACACATTTACAATAACTCTCAATTTTGTTCAGTTGTAACACATAAAAAAAAAAAAAACTTGTCTGAGACGCTAAATTGTTCGTGTATTCACAATAAGTCATAATTGTTCAAACAGTTGGGTGATTCCGGCGTCCAGCACGCCCACATCCCTCTCATCATTACCCGAGTCAGTGTGGTTACTGTTCCCTGGCCGTTCAGTGATGATTCTGGTCTTGGTGAAAGCTCAGACCACAGTTGATACTGATCCTTAGCTCAGGCGTCCACGATCCGTTGGCAGATTGTGGCGTAAGTCGCTCGGCGCTGTCTCCATGTCTTCGTAAATGTGTGCTCGCCTTCTCTCTTCTTCTTTCACTTTATAATAGCCTTGAGTTTAAAGTGGGCATTGTAAGCGTGTCTCTTAACAGGTGCATTATATTATAAGACGCCCAGTCATTTTTTGATTAAATTAAAGGCTTTTAAGTGCGCCCTATAGTGCAGAAAATACGGTACCCCTACTTTTAGGCTTATTGTGGGCTTAGAAAGCAAGGCAAAGGAAAGTAAAAGAAAATAAATAATAAACAAAACTCTTGCTATTTTGTTTTATAATAATATGCTAATCATATAATTAAAATGCCCCATTCAGCTGTTTGCCGTTGCAGATTATAAAATACTTGAAATTCACATTGTGCATATATTGAAAACACCAATTTGGATTTTACTTTTTAATTCAGAAGATATTTATGACAAGCATTGAATAGATTTGCAAATGATGTTTTAATAAAAGAATTCAGTTCAAAGTTTTACACATTTTAAACACTTCCATAAAAAAACAAAAAGACTGAAATAAGAACTGGCAAACTAATCACAAAGAATCACATTTCAGAACATGTTTGTACAGAATAAAACAGACTATTTAGTTGTTTGTGGAGGTAATTAATGCCCTTTGAGCAATAAAAACACCCATAACTGAATGAAACATGGACAAGTTTAATGCCACACTGTGAAACATGTCAGACAAAGTAATTCTATGAACACAAGCAAGTGGTGGACACTGTACCCGAAAAGTTACACACTGCACCGTTTAAGATAAAAAAACAAAACATACCAAATCTTGACTAGTCTTTTGTAGTTTTGCAATTGCGTTCATTCAGATTGTATTTCCAGTTCATCTTGCAGGTTCCCGTTTCAGTGTGGAACATTTGGTCCCCTCCCCAGCCGTCATGTTTACAGTCTATGTAAACAAAAGCACATTATGAACAAGTCTGCGCTAAAACCCTCTGAGACACCTGATTCTGACACCTCATAAATCTTACAATGTGTTCACAGCCTGAGATGAAAACATGGCTCCACAAATTGAACTGTTATTAAACGTCTGCTGCTCCCTCACCTTCTCACTGCTCCTGCTCTCTCACCTCCTCACTGCTCCACGACCTCCTCACTGCTCCATCACCTCCTCACTGCTCCTGCTCTATCACCTCCTCACTGCTCCACGACCTCCTCACTGCTCCACGACCTCCTCACTGCTCCATCACCTCCTCACTGCTCCATCACCTCCTCACTGCTCCATCACCTCCTCACTGCTCCTCCTCACCTCTCACTGCTCCATCACCTCCACTGCTCCTCACCTCCTCACTGCTCCACTCACTCTCCTCACTGCTCCTCATCTTCTCACTGCTCTATCACCTCCTCACTGCTCCATCACTCACTGCTCCATCACTTCTCCCCCACCTCTCACTGCTCCACTTGTCACTCTCCTCACTCACCTCTCACTGCTCCATCACTGCTCCATCACTGCTCCACTCCTCACTGCTCCATCACTCCTCACTGCTCCATCACCTCCTCACTGCTCCATCACTGCTCCATCACCTCCTCACTGCTCCATCACCTCCTCACTGCTCCATCACCTCCTCACTGCTCCCTCACTTCTCCCCCACCTTCTCACTGCTCCATCAGCTTGTCACTGCTCCTGCTCCCTCACCTTCTCACTGCTCCATCACTGCTCCATCACCTCCTTACTGCTCCATCACCTCCTCACTGCTCCATCACCTCCTCACTGCTCCATCACCTCCTCACTGCTCCATCACCTCCTCACTGCTCCACCTCACTGCTCCATCACCTCCTCACTGCTCCATCACCTCCTCACTGCTCCATCACCTCCTCACTGCTCCATCACTTCTCCCCCACCTTCTCACTGCTCCATCAGCTTGTCACTGCTCCTGCTCCCTCACCTTCTCACTGCTCCATCACTGCTCCATCATCTACTCACTGCTCCTGCTCCATCACCTCCTCACTGCTCCATCACCTCCTCACTGCTCCATCACTGCTCCATCACCTCCTTACTGCTCCTGCTCCATCACCTCCTCACTGCTCCATCATCTACTCACTGCTCCTGCTCCATCAGCTTCTCACTGCTCCATCATCTACTCACTGCTCCTACTCACTTCTCACTGCTCATGCTCCATCACCTCCTCACTGCTCCATCACCTCCTCAGTGTTCCATCACCTCCTCACTACTCCTGCTCCCTCAGCTCCTCACTACTCCAGCTCCCTCACCTCCTCAATTCCCCCACACCTCCTCACTGCTCCCTCACCTCCTCACTCCTTCCTCACCTCCAGTGAAGAGCTGATGGAGCAGTGAGGCTCCATCACCTCCTCACTCCTTCCTCACCTCTTCACTGCTCCTGCTCCATCACCTCCTCACTACTCCTGCTTCCTCCCTCCTCACTGCTCCATCACCTCCTCACTCCTCCTCACTCTCACTCCTCACTCCTTCCTCACCTCCAGTGAAGAGCTGATGGAGCAGTGAGGCTCCATCAGCTCCTCACTCCTTCCTCACCTCTTCACTACTCCTGCTCCATCAGCTCCTCACTACTCCTGCTCCCTCACCTCCTCACTGCTCCATCACCTCCTCAATGCTCCCTCACCTCCTCACTCCTTCCTCACCTCCAGTGAAGAGCTGATGGAGCAGTGAGGCTCCATCACCTCCTCATTCCTTCCTCACCTCTTCACTGCTCCTGCTCCATCACCTCCTCACTTCTCCCTCAGCTCTACACTGTCGATCGATCAGGCTATTTTTACTCCAGGCACTTCCCCCGTACAGTGATGTTATGCATGAGGTCTGTAAGATTAATCACAACTGAATCGAAATCACAATTTGAATCAATGCAGTTAGCAAATCACAAAGGCTGCAGTTTTTGACCTGCTATCATTTCCTCCACAGACAACACAATATCCTGTTTTATTCTGCTTAAAAGCAGATGTTACATGATGCTAGGTTATAATGTTGTTTCCTCATCACAAACAGACCTGGAGTTGTGTTTTGTTTCCTGCTTAACACACAAACCCTGCATTGTTAGGCATCACAAGGCGGAACAGAGCATTTTGAGCTTTTGATATAGGCAGATTATTAGGCTCTATTCACGTTATGTCACAAACCAGGAAGACGTTTGGAAACATGTGATGACAGCTGGTGTAGTTCCCGACACTGGACTCGACCGACTGTGATCAAACCCACTGAAGTAAATGTGATCAGAGGTAAAATGAAGACTTCAGACGTATGTGCTGTTTGGAATCATCTGGAGCTCATCTCTTCTAATCACATGTATCCAGTGCACTCGGAGTTGTGTGTCAGTGGGGAAATGATGAAACGTGACGTATGGTTGGTATTGGCGAGGAGAAAATTCAGTTTGTCGACTGGACAAAAGTTAGTTTGGTTGAAACCAAAGTAACCAAACTTCAGCCAAACTAACTTTTGTCCAGTCGACAAACTGAATTTGCTCCTCACCATGGATTCTCCTTGGACGACTGAGGGATTCTTCACACATTTATGCTTGGAATTGTTGATTAGCCAAACATAACAGAACACTACAATGACATGGAGATGAAGAAAACTGGGACCTTTTTTTAAAAAAAATGTCTTGATTTTGTCAGACTTATCACTGCTAACACAGCCCACCGGAAGTTGTAATTGCATCTTTCAAGCATCTTCCTGGTGTGTAACGTAAGCGTGAATAGAGCCTATGTGCAATAAAGCCTGTTTTGTGTAATGTAGGACCTTTAATATATTGTATTTTCGGTGCATTGGTGACGGTGATTTGTGTTTTGCAGGTTTGTTGGTCGTATCACAGTGACTCAGCATGGGGAGGAGATCGTCAGGTGAGTCCATGGATCTTCAAATGCAAAATCGTCATTAAATTCAAAGAATTCAAAGATAGATTCCACCCAAAAGTTTAATGGCCACCTGCTTGTCTCCAATGCAGATGTTAGGTTAGGGCTTTTCCTGGGATTTTCCACGGTGTGACATTAAACACATTTATTTTGTGTTTATTCATTTGTGTTCTATTGTTAAACTAGAAAAGCACTCAGAGAGCGCAGACCTCCGCCAAGGACTACCCCCATTTTTTATAAAAATTGCGATAAAATCAGTCTTCTGGATCAGATCCGGATCAGCCTTTGGAATATGAAAAGAGGATCCCATTGTCCATCCCTGAGTCAAATTTCATGGGGTTTGGTCAATAATTAACCGAGATTTTGAGAAACAAAATTTACCACAATGTTAACTAAAATTTCAAAGTGATCCAGAATCCAGGATTTCTTCCAGATCACCCCCAAAATGAAATCAGTTCTTCCTTTTCACATTTCCAACAAATCCTGAAAATTTCATCAAAATTGGTCCATAACTTTTTGAGTTATGTTGCTAAAAGACAAACAAACAGACAAACGCCGGCAAAAACATAACCTCCTTGGCGGAGGTAAAAAAAAAACAAAAAAAAAAACAAAGAGACAAATTCTTATTTTTACTGTGAGCAGGCTTGCCTCTGCAGATTTAACTTGTAATTTGTGACTCACCTGCTTGTCTTCATGCAGACATTATTGCTTTGCTGGAATGTTCCACTGTATGGTGTTAAAGATATATCTGGGCCTGGTCAAGCAGAAGTAAACAGCAAGGCCAAAAATTCAAATTAATGCATCTGATATAAAAATGTATTGAACAGATACATATGTACTCTAGTTTATGAAACTGTTGACCTTTTTTCTGTACCATTTTTGGTTCTAAAGTTCCATACGTTTTTAAACAGACCATGTATGAAACATGGAACAAAAATTATTTCTCAAATTTCAAAGACCTGCAAATCATGTAATTAAATGGATGTATTTCATCATATCTTGTGTTATTCCATCTTTGAACTGTTGATGAAGGTACAGGATTTTTCAAAAAAATTATGATAAAAATTTGCTTGGAAGGACTGACATATTTTATAGAAATAGTTTCCTTTCATTTTGAAGTAATATTAAAGTATTCAGAAGAAAAAAGTTGACAAATGATGTAAAATCCTGCACCTTCTACTTGTTTGCACAATTTTCCCTCCGTTACTTTTCCCTCCGTTACCATGACCTTTCTTAATAAAAAATCTCATGAGTCAAAAAGTAAGAGGTTTTTCAACCTAATCTTGTACCATATGGTAGAAAACTATATGAAGCAAATATTCAAACCAGTTTGTTAAGGATATGGAAGTGAGAACCAAGAGTTATCACTGTTTGGATTTATTGCCCAAAAAGTGCTGCATATTTCATTCCCTCCGTTACCAACATGAGTTTTTAAATTTTTTGTCAACAACTTGAAAGAATATCACAGGTTTAACTTGACCCTGTTGGAGTGTAACTCTTTCCTACATTCTGATACTTTACTTATTTCAATAGTTCCTCTAGTTTCTGAATAAGAGACATTTGAATGTCAAAAATCTGCCCGTTTCCCTCCGTTACTGCTTGACCGGACCCATCTTCATCTGCTTGTCTCCATGGATATATATGTTTCAAGTTATACTCTGGAACCTTTTTGGTCAAGCAGTAACATCTCTATGGAAACAAACCAGAATATTATACAGCTTAAATATTTTAACAACATATATTCAAGTAAAGCTAAAGGTGCATTGCGTAACTTTTCTGGTGGAGGGTCCGTCAAATGCTTTTCGCCAAGGAGATGTTATTGCTTTGTTTGGAATGTTTTACAGTATAGCATTAAACCTTTCTATCTTCAAACCAGACCAAGTTACAGGTCAGATCTGTGGAGAGGCGACCCCGCTCACAGTCTGTTTTACTAGGCATTTTGTGCTATAAAACCACCTGTAGTTGAGTAAATGTAAGGTAGAGCTGTTTAATGTCATACTGTGGAACATTCCAGGTAGAGCAATGACATCTCCATGGAAACAAACAAGTGACAGACCTTAAACCAAAAAGCTACATAGTGCAGTTTTGACTTAATTTTTCAAACGGTGCAGTGCTTTGGGGACAGTGTGATGAGAAAAGTACATGTTTTGGGCTGCAGTGTGAGTTTGTCCCTGATGACTTTAGCTGTCTCCTTCTCTTATAAGTGATGAAAATTCTCAATAATTTCCGAAACCTGTACTTACGTGTCACCTTTCCTTTCACTCAGACCGCTGGGCCCCGAGAACCTGCTGCTGCGAGGAGCCAGGCTGAAAAATACCAAAGAAATTTATGGTAAGTTACGATGTTCTATCAATTAATCAGATCAATTTATTTATAAAGTGGTTTTCATACATTCAAGTTCTTTACAGATAGAATTCACACTCACACCCACTCACCGACTCACTGAAACTAAAGGTGCACTGTGTAACTTTTGGGGCCTGTCACCTGCTTGTTTATATAGATATGTCATTGCCCTGTCTGGAATGTTCCGCAGTGTGACATTAAACAGATCTACTTAACATTTATTAAGTTACTGGTGGTTTTATTGCTCAAAAATACCTAGAAAAACAGACATTCTGACTGTGAGCGGGGTCGCCTTTCCACAGATCTGACTTGTAATTTAGTCTGGTTTGGTCTCCCTAAAGCTAGAAAGGTTTAAAGCTATACCGTGAAACATTCCAGGCGAAGTAACTACATCTCCAAGGAAAAAGGCATTTGACTGACCCTCCAGAAAAGTTACACAATGCACCTTTAAGTGTCACAAGTGAGAGAGACCACATAGCCCACAGTGGTTTAAATAAATGACAAAACCTGATTGTGTGTGGCCTCAGCCATCAGTCAGTCATTTCTGCTTGTGCTGATGTGTTTGTGTTGGGCAGGTGTGGCGGTCTACACGGGGATGGAGTCTAAAATGGCCTTGAACTACAAATGCAAGTCCCAGAAGCGCTCGGCAGTGGAAAAGTAAACAGCATCTGCACTAAACACACAACACTCTATAATAGAGTAATGGGCTCTGTGACGTTATAATTACACACTATACACTTGTAAAGACAATAACAAGTCTCCAATGCGTTATAATTCAAGATTTTTTAAAGGTCTGTGAGTCGGTTCGGAGCATAATTCGCACCAGCCGAAAAATGTGTAATAAAGAAGAAAAAACATATATATATAAGTATATAAGTATAAGTAAGTATAAGTAAGTCTCACTTTTTGCGGGAAATGTATTTTATAAAATCAAAGACCAGGGACTGACATTTCCTGTTGAAACACAAGTTCTAGTAATAGTAATAACAACAGACTGTTAACGTCACATATGAACAGTTCTTCAGATAAACTATAACATAAACAACAGAACAGAACAAGTTTACCAAACTCTTCATCTCACTCCAAATCACTAAATCCATTCAATTCTTCATCCTCGGTGTCACTTCTGAACAACTCGGCCTTGACCTCCGGAGGTAAACGGAGCACCACTTCCTCTTCTGTGTCGCTGTCGTCAGACTCAGCATCAGTTCCAGTTAGAATTATTCGGGTCTTTCTGAATCTCGACAGGATGGTTTCAGTGTCACTGAAGTCCAGACTTTGTCCATCCATCCAGTGACTTCAGGAAAGTTTCATGGTGCATCCTCCCGGTGTCACAAGTTTCTCACTCACTCCAAACTTTCTTTCTACTACTCGATTATCGTCTTTGACTGCATATTTCACGACTTGCAGTTTGTAATCTGCAAAATCTGATTTTCTTTTTGGGGCATTTGTGTTCAATCTTCTCAGTCGTCTTTATAAATTTGTTTAAATGTTATATTGTTCAGAGATGCAGAAGTAATGGTGCGATCGACTGACATGATACAGACAGAACAGAGGCTCTTTCTGCAGTAGACATGTGCAGTAGTAGCAGATAGTGGCACACAAGCCTAGAGCGCCCTCTGTTGGGCATCAGTGTGAAAATTATATAAATTGCACCGGAGTATAAATTGCAGGAAACCTCAGAATGCTCTGTTCCACCTTGTGATGTCATGAAGCGGTAGTTTACAAGTTTGCAGCTCCTTTTACCTTTTGTTCAGTAGAGATTGGCACTACCACAGCTAAATAATCCAAATGATTCTAGTGTTTGAACTGCATGGAGTTTAACAATACAGAGAAGCACTTCCTGTATCACCACATGACATCACAAGGTGGAACAGAGTGTTTTCCGTTTGAGAGAAGAACTCAGGCTAAATATGCAAGATTTGTGTTTTAAACATCTTTGAATGAAACAAAACACAACTCCAGGTCTGTTTGTGACGAGGAAACAACATTATAACATGACCTTAAACTCACAAGAGTCAATTTCACGTAATATAGGACCTAAAAAAAATAATTGTAATGCATTGGAAACTTGTAATATGAGCCCTTTAAACAAACTCATGTGTAGGTAGGTATATGAAAAATGAACATGAATATTCTCTGAGTAAAAGTAAGAACGCTCAGTTGTTATATTTCTTGTGACAGATCCTACGAAGGTCTGCTCATTTGAATATGTGTTCATGTCAAAAGCAGAGGAGTTCATTTTAAACTCTTTGCAGTGGTCCAGAGTTATTCCTCACTTTTCTAACATCCAGCATCTTAATTATTCATTGTGATAAATTTTTAAGATTTTTGCACAACCTTCAGAGGCCAGAGCTATAACAACTGAAGCAATTAAAACAATAGCTGTAACTTTAAAGGTGCACCTCGTAACCTTTGTGTTGGAGGGTCCGTCCTACGCTCATTTTCGTGGAATTTTAATGCTTTACTTTGAATGTTCCGCAGTGTTGCATTACACTCACCTGTCTTACATTTATACATTACAAGTGTTTTAACTGCATGAATGACAATTGACTGAAACACACATTCTCACTGTGAAGTGGACTTGCCTCTCCACAGATTTAATTTGTGATTTGGGCTATTGGTGATGCCTGCTTGTTTCCATGGAGATGCTATTGCTTTGCAGGAATGTTCCATAGTATAGCATTAAGCACATCTCCGTGGAGGCAAGCAGATGAAACCATATACATTATTTTTCAACCACTACTCTGAAACATTTTTGGCAAGGCAATAATGGAAACAAGCCAGAAATCTCTAACTTGGCCTGGCTGTGTCACCTTCTTGTGTCCATGGAGATATAGATAGTTTAATGTCTAACTGGCAGTGTTGGGAAGGTGACTTTTAAAATGTATTCCCCTACAGATTACAGATTACATACACCAAAATGTAGTTTGTAACATAATCCATTCAATTACTTAAGTGAGTAACGTAATCTGAATACTTTGGATTACTTGATTTTCTGTAGAGAAGCAAAGATGAGGATATCGTATAGTTTTGTCTGAAAAAAGAAAATAAAAAGACCAAACTTTCCTTAACCGTATTAAAAATATTATTGATAGAAGATCAATAACGCATGGTTTAGTCCTGTTTTAATAATGTTTTAGTCCTGGTTTAGTCGTGGTTTTAGACCTGGTTTAGACCTGGCTTAGACCTGGTTTTAGACCTGGTTTTAGACCTGGTTTTAGACCTGGTTTAGATCTAGTTTAGACCTGCTTTTAGTCCTGGTTTAGTCCTGTTTTAGTCCTGGTTTTAGTCCTGGTTTTAGTCCTGGTTTTAGTCCTGGTTTTAGACTGGTTTTAGTCCTGGTTTTAGTCTGGTTTTAGTCCTGGTTTTAGACTGGTTTTAGTCCTGTTTTAGTCCTGGTTTTAGACTGGTTTTAGTCCTGGTTTAGTCCTGGTTTTAGACCTGGTTTAGACCTGGTTTAGATCTAGTTTAGACCTAGTTTAGACCTGCTTTTAGTCCTGTTTTAGACCTGCTTTTAGACCTGCTTTTAGTCCTGTTTTAGACCTGCTTTTAGTCCTGTTTTAGTCCTGTTTTTAGACCTGGTTTAGTTTCCGGGAATGAGTGGAATTACCGGGGGGAAAAAAAAAAAAAAAAGGGATATATCAAAAAATGTGAAAACAGGAAAATACCACCATGTAATCCATTTATTTCAACAAAGTAACTGTAATCCAATTACCACTCACTGAAATAGTAACTGTAACTGAATACAGTTACTTATAATTTGTACTCTGATTACGTAACTCCGGTACATGTAATCTGTTACTCCCCAACACTGCTAACTGGGGAACATTCCCAATGGCAGAAAAGTCATATAGTGCACTTTTAAAAAAAATACTTTATTCTATCTATACTATATTAACCTCTGTGTGTGTGTGTGTGTGTGTGTGTGTGTTGTACCTTTTAGGTCGATGAACTCCTTCCTGATCATTTACCTGGGCATTCTTCTGACGGAGGCCATCTTGAGTACCATCCTGAAGTACGCGTGGCAGAGCGAGGACAAATGGGACGAGCCTTTTTACAACCAGAAGACGGAGCAGGAGCGGAACAGCAGCCCGGTGAGTCTGAGCAGCTCTGGATCCATCTGTGTTTGTGGTTTGTGGCGGTGCTCTCAGATCAGATGAGACAACTTGATTGAATCGCTGCCTCACTGAAAATCTTTATTTCTGGAGTATGATTAAACCTTTTTGTTTATCACAGTCAAATCAAAATCTATTTTACTGACATAATAATATCACGTCTCAAAGGCTGCACTTATTTTGATTAGAGATGCACCCATCCTTTTTCAGTTCTGATACCGATTTCAGTACTATAGTATCGAAAGAATCTGTCAATACTGATATCATACGATACCATTGCAAGGCTGAAAATCTCATTTATTTCTTTAAAACTAAAATAGAATAAGACAAAAGCGTCCGGTCAAGCAGTGACAGAGGGAAACAGGGGCAGATTTTTGACATTCAAATGTCTCTTATTCAGAAACTAGAGGGACTATTGAAATAAGTAAAGTATCAGAATGTAGGAAAGAGTTACACTCCAACAGGGTCAAGTTAAACCTGTGATATTCTTTCAAGTTTTTGACAAAAAAATTTAAAACTCATGTCTGTAACGGAGGGAATGAAATATGCAGCACTTTTTGGGCAATAAATCCAAACAGTGATAACTCTTGGTTCTCACTTCCATATCCTTAACAAACTGGTTTGAATATTTGCTTCATATAGTTTTCTACCATATGGTACAAGATTAGGTTGAAAAACCTCTTACTTTTTGAGTCATGAGATTTTTTATTAAGAAAGGTCATGGTAACGGAGGGAAAAGTAACGGAGGGAAAATTGTACAAACAAGTAGAAGGTGCAGGATTTTACATCATTTGTCGCTTTTTTTCTTCTGAATACTTTAATATTACTTCAAAATGAAAGGAAACTATTTCTATAAAATATGTCAGTCCTTCCAAGCAAATTTTTATCATTTTAAATACATTTTTTTTTTTTTAAAATCATGTCCCTTCATCAACAGTTCAAAGATGGAATAACACAAGATATGATGAAATACATCCATTTATTGACATGATTTGCAGGTCTTTGAAATTTGGGAAATAATTTTTGTTCCATGTTTCATACATGGTCTGTTTAAAACGTATGGAACTTTAGAACCAAAAATGGTACAGAAAAAAGGTCAACAGTTTCATAAACTAGAGTACATATGTATCTGTTCAATACATTTTTATATCAGATGCTTTAACTTGAATTTTTGACCTTGTTGTTTACTTCTGCTTGACCAGGCTCAAAACTAATCCAAATGTACTCGGCCAATTATGACCAGCAAATAGTGATATTACTTCATTGTATATATCCAGCCAGAATATCGAATGAACCGATAATTGGTTAGCCAATATCCAATCCAGCAAATATTTCAGGAGCAGCACCTGATACCAGTATTGAATCGGAGCATACCTAATTTATCTAACAGAGCACTATATCCTGTCTTTTTATAGGAACGTCTTGTGTATTTGAGACCTCTACAAACATGGTCTGAAATTCTAGAAATTCTTGTATTAGTTTATTATTTTTTGTCTTCTCTCAAATGAAAATGCTCCTGAAGTTCTGAAGTTTACAGTTCTAAACAAAAAAAAGGAGGTACTGGTATCAGACCACATCAGTCCAATTCAATCAAATCTGCTTTTTATAACATCTGTGTCTTAAATTCTAAAGACATCTCCTTTGAATTTTGTATCATTCAAAAAAATATGTCATTCGGAACTAAATATAGCCCTTTTTTTAAACCTCAGATTCTTAGTTTGGATTTGATTCTGTAGAATTCTGCTGTGTTTTGTGTTCAAACTGTCCTAGAAACACACTTCTACTTGCATGAATCACTCAAAACACAAGTTTGAGTGAGCCAAAGATTAGGGACCACAAATATAATATGGTTAAATGTTTTATATTAAACAAAAGTGACTCTTGTGAGCTGTAAGTCATGTTATAATGTTGTTCCCTCCTCAAAAAACAGACCTGGAGTTGTGTTTTTTTTTCATTCACACATGTTTGAGTAACTCTTTATTATTAGTCTGTCTATATCTGCAAACCTCAAAATGTTCTGTTCCACCTTGTGATGTCATGAAGCTGTAGTTTTTTATCTTAATATCTACCTTTTACCTTTAGTTAAGTAGAGATTGACAGTTCCAGGACTGAAATGATCCAAATGATTCTAGTGAACGTGTGTGGAGTTTTAAAGCACAGTGGAGCACCTCCTCTATTACCACATGACATCACAAGGTGGAACAGAGTGTTTTCTGTTTGAGAGAAGAACGTGAAGAGTGTAAATATGCAGTGTTTGTGTGTTAAACTTATGAATGAAACAAAACACAACTCCAAGTCTGTTTGTGACGAGGAAACATTATAACATAGATAAGGCTCTTTAAAATCACGTCAGCTTCCATTTTGTCATCGCACATCTCCTTTAAGCTCAGGTAATGTTAGACTTTTAATGGTTTAAGAAGTTGAGTGCGTCGTAGTGTCTCCTTGAATCCTGTGACACTGAGAGACGGAGAGACGGCCTCACAGGTGAGGCCCATCAGTGTCTGTCAGATCTGATCCGTCTCACTGGAGCTCTGCGCTGAGGACGAGGCAAAGAGGGAGGAACCGGGCTTTACTCGGAATTACAGCTGCCAGAGTCCATGAAGGAGCCGGAGGGAAAGGCGAGGACTGTTTCACACCTGCGCCGAGCGTTCAGTCTAAAAACAACAGTAATTTGTCAAACTTCCGGCTTCACTTGTCATGATAATTACCAGGATGTCAGAGCATTTGAATTTCAGCTGGTAGAGAGGAGTAAAGCTATCGACTTGGGGTTCTTAGACGTTAACTGGCATTGTCATTGTTGTTGGAGCGTAGCCAACTTTTCTATCTGAATGTTTCCAGGAAAATTGCAGCCGTTGCCATAGCGATTAGTGACTTTAAATGAAGTAATATATCTTTTGAATGGGGAAAAGTCATTAGAATGTTGCATATAGGAAGCTAAAACCTATGAATCATTGTGAGAAGTGGGTGAATAATGGTCAGCTTTAAACTTTAAAAGCGCTCTGTGTAACTTTTCTGGTGAAGGTCGGTCACTTACTTGTCTCCATGAAGATTGTTTGCTGAGAATGTTCCACAGTATGGCATTTAAACTATTTCTGCACACTGCTATGCCAACATACAGGGCAAATCTGTGAAGAAGAATGCATGTTTTTAAGGTTTTTTTTGCATTAATATAATATTCTAAATAAATAGGGATGGGACAAGATCTTGTGCCACAGATGCACAGATGAGAAAAATAATCTTGTGAGGTTTTTTTCCCCCCAGTTGGATTGGACAAAAAAGGTTAAGCACTGGTGGGCTGCATCTTTTGAGAAACTGTAGTTCCAAAAAGCACTGCCAGAATGACAACAAAAGTAGTAAATGAACTAAATACACATTTTGAAGCTAACCTTTACACTTTTACTTTTTATTTATTTAAAATATATTTATTTACTATTTACATTTTAGAAATTATGTCAGAATCTTGTCTTGTCTCGTTCTCGTGGACTCAGTCTTGTGTCTCATCTTGTCTTGTGGAAATTGTCTTGTTTTTAATGCCTTAAAGAAACTGGTAGACCCCCTTCTTGAAAAGTTACATACAGAATTCCCACTGTCATGGAAATCCTGGAAAAGTCATGGAAATTTAATATCTCATTCATGCAACTCCAGCGTTCTGTTAAGTTCTCATAAGGCTGTTCTGATTATTTTGAAACTTATGTGCCTTTTGTTTAAAAGAGACGACAATAAATGCACTGACAGAATTTTGAATGTTCAAAAACTATAATCCCAAACCATAAGGAGAGTGGAAAGAGTTAAACATTTCATATTTAGTCCTAAAAACTATTATCAATTCTACACATGTAGGTGCCATAAAGTCATGGAAAATTCACTTTAGGTCATGAAAAAGTGATGGAAAAGTTTTGAAATTTTGTCAGTGAAAAAGAGTGGGAACCCTGAACATAGTGTGTCTTTAACAGTGATAATAATAATACATACGCTTTTCATGACACTCAAAGACGCTTCACATAGATCAGGACACAAACACAAATGAAAGAAACAGATAAACAGGAGATGCAGTTATTAAAGGCGGTTTGGAACAAGTGAGTTTTCATGTTTTTTTAAACATGGGGAGTGTGGATATGTCTCTGAAGTGTTTGGGGAGTGAGTTCCAGAGGGTGGAGGCAGTGGTGGAGAAGCCCTTGTCCTCCAGGTCTGTGTTTAGTCCTGGTGGGGGTCGGGGGAGATTAGAAGTTGGCATCAGCTGATCGGAGGACACGGGCACGGGTGCGGGTGTGGTGGTGGAGGAGCACGGAGAGGGAAATGAGGGCCAGGTTATGGAGGGACTTGTACACGATGGTGAAGAGTTTGAATTGGATGTGGTGAGGAACGGGGAGCCAGTGGAGGACAAGGGGGAGGAGGTGTGGGTGAGGACGCAGCGGCAGACTTCTGGGTGTATGGGAGTTTATCGAGGAGTTTGGAGGGTGAACCGTAGAGCAAGCAATTACAGTAGTCGAGGCGAGAAGTGACAAAGGTGTGGATGAGGGTTCCAGCAGACCGAGGGGAGTGGGACGGGCGGAGGCGAGCGATGTTCCGGAGGTGATAGAAGGCGGTTTTGGTGATGTGTTTGATTACAGATTACAGAGGCGGGAGGAGGAGGAGGAGGAGACTGAGGAACCGTCGATGGAGAGGGTGAAGTTCTTATAGGTTTTGGTGAATGTTTTGGGGCCAGTCATGATTAGTTCTGTTTTGTCGCAGTTGAGTTGGAGGAAGTTTGATTGGAGCCAGGATTTTATTTCGGAGATGCAGATTGTGAGGGTGGAGTGTGTGAGAATGTAGAGGATGAAGAGGAGGGGGCCGAGAACTGAACCTTTAAAGTCAACTGAGAAGCTTGTAAAGTACAAAATTAAAACTGGTAGTTGAGGAAGTACATAATATGGACTCCCGATCTCTCCAAGTACTAATACTGCACTATGTACTGTATACAGCCGTACCATCCTTTACACACACTTTTGCCTCACTGTTATAATCTGCTTCTCTCCTCACAGATTCTGAAGTTCATCTCAGACTTCCTGGCGTTCCTGGTCCTGTATAACTTCATCATTCCCATCTCTCTGTACGTTACCGTGGAGATGCAGAAGTTCCTGGGTTCTTTCTTTATCGGGTGGGACCTGGACCTGTACCACGAGGAGAGCGACCAGAAGGCTCAGGTCAACACCTCTGACCTCAACGAGGAGCTGGGACAGGTACGGCCACACCCAGGGATTTCTAGAACTTACACACAAACTAACTGATGGCTCTGCTCTGTCTGAAGCTGTTAAGTTGGACTATAAAGGTGCATTGTGTAACTTTTCTGGTGGAGGGTCTGTCAAATGCTTTTTATGGAGATGTTATTGTTTTGACTGGAATGTTTTACAGTGAGTGTGTATACATGCACATCCATATCCCGGTTCTGTCAGTATTCGGGTTACTGCGTATATATGCTCATATCCCTGTATACATGATCAAATGGAGTATCCCGGTTTCTTGACATAATGTTACAAATGCACAAGCGCAAACATTAACTTAATTTAATTTAATAAACCAGGAAGAATACAAACCATGAGCTCCTTTAGCATAAGAAGCTCGGGAGGTTTAACCAGCGGTGAGGAGCTGAGATCTCCCACAATCCACTGCACACATCAAACCCAACAGATTCTTCATTAAAATCTTCTGCATAAATAAACTCAACTTTACAACATATAAAACATAACCACTATAGATCCACATAAGCCCGTTTGATCAGATAATTCAGCTTTGACACATTTGTTTACATTTTACAGAAACTAAACTTAAAACACATGGCTAATTTACATAAACTGTTAGCAGTGATAAAAACAGCTGCTCCATGGTCTACTGATGCAGTTCAGCCTCTTTCGGACTAAAGGACACAACTCATTGGATTATGTGAGTTCTTTTTGAGACACAAGAGGTGCTAATGATGTTAAGTGTGTTCTGTGTGTGTATCGTATAGGAGACGGTTCATGTTATAGGCGAGTTTCATTGTTGACAAAAGCGCGCGTTGCATGCTGGGAATTATTTTGGTCGGTGGCAAGAAACACTAATTCAACATGACGGACGGAGCGAGAAAGCACGTAAAGGGTATTGATCCCGGTTATTTATCCACTCTAACAGCAGAGGACCCAAGACCATTTGACCAGAAATTGGTCATAAGCATCGACGGACGACAAATCACCCTTTTCAACCCCGACAAAAGGTGGACCAAACCAAACTTCTGGTCTGAATCACCAACTACCTGGACAAATATTCACTTTGGTGATATCCACAATGACTTGGTGGAAACTCCTGGGTCATTCACAGCAGAAAAGATGAAAACCTCCAAGAGTCTTGATGTGTTGTTGAACTTGTTGGAGTCCACGGTTTGTTAGGATCTTCTACGTTTGCTCTGCGGATGTTTGAAAGCCGTTTAATTCACCGTTAGTGGTTCTTTTCACTCAGAATACGAAAAAGACATTTTCCTTCTTCCGTGCTTCTATTTGTGCATCCGATAATGCAGCAGGGATTGACCATTATCGGGGAGAAATACGCGAGGTTACGCACTGTGTTTGACGCTACCGTGTTTCTTGCCTCCGACCAAAATATTTCCCAGCATGCAACGCGGGCTTTTAATAACAATGACGTCAGCTGAAACTCGCCTATAGCTTTTCAGCAATCATACGTGTGCAGGTCATATGACTGCAGTACATCTGCAGGTTTAGCACAGCTTTTTATTCTACAGTCATTTCACTCATGTTTGGTCACTTTATTTATGTCAGTCACTTTATTTATGTTGCTACTGTTGTGGTGAAAATACTGGAAAGTGTTTGTCTTTTGGAAGCATGTGCACTCAACTTTATGTTGCAGTAACCAGGATACTGTGTTTACATGCCACAGTATCCCAGTTACTATCTGAATATACCAGCTACAGTAACCCGGTTTCTAATAACCAGGATACTGCCATAACCGGGATACTGCGTATACATGCACCATGAAGAAACCGGGATACTCAAACCAGGATACTGATGTGCATGCATACACGCTCATTATGGCATTAAGCGTTTCTATCTTCTTGGAAACAAAGCAGACAAAGTTACAGGTCAGATCTGTGGAGAAGCGACCCCGCTCACAGTCAGAATGTTTGTTTTTCTTGTTATTTTTGAGCTTTTAAACCACCCCTAATTGAATAAAAAAACAGAAAAGTTATTATACCTTTTAATCTGAGCTTTGTTTTAACACAATCTGACCAGAAAGAAATGATTTAGTTGGAACTACAACAGAAGAGCTGATTTTGTGGTGTTAAACAAATCCCTCTCAAATATCCTTTAAGTTACAAGTGAGCCTGCATTAACCAACAGTTTTTCACTTAATCAACCACATAAATTGACCATGAACACTCGTATTGATCACAGGCTCCTGAAAATGTGCTGTTTAAATCCATTTTGTGTTTAACTCTTGAGTTTTCAGACTATCTAAAACTTTTTTGGCTGTGTTTTTTTGTATGTGTTCACTGCATTGTGTCTACATGGTAACTGCTGAACATTCTGCCATAGAGATACATCTAGAACACCCCTAGCATGATGTCACTGCAAAGTATAAATTCTGAGCTTGTATTTTCGGGCTTGTGTTTTTCAAATTGACCTCAGTTTGTCCATGGTGTCCTACAAAGGCAAAAGACGGTAACTCACCAGAATGTGAAACTGAGAAAAATGACGTCAAAGTTTGTGTTTTGTTCAGACAAAAGTATAACAGACAGATCTCCCAAAATTTGACAATTAGTTGCTATAATGAAGAAATATTTGTATGTGAAAAATATTGAGCTCAAAATTGACCTTTGACCCTTATTTGTCAGTTCCTGTTCTCTGCCTTTGCATCATGAGCCAAAAATAAGAAGTCAGGCAAAAGGCAAAAGGCAGAAACTGACATGATCATGATCGTCTTGATTTTCTCCAGATTTCCATCCATTATAAGAACCTCACCAAGTTTGAGTCATCATGGAGTTTGTTTGAAATGATCTAGGCAAGACAAGTTTATTTGTATAGCCCAATTTGTACACAAAGTCATTCAAAGTGCTTTACAGAATAAGAAATACATTAAAATCACAATACAAACAAATCAAAACATAAATAATCATGAAGATTAAAATTAAAAAAGAGAGACATAAATTGGAGAGAAGAGTGCGGAATGAAAACCTTTCAGTTATTTGCACAGTTAAACAGAAATGTTTTGAGTCTGGATTTAAACAGCGTCACAGAAGAGTCTGTCTCACATGTTCAGACTGTTCCAGGTTTTAGCTGCATGAACCTGAAACTCTGACTCCCATTTTTTAGTCGTGACTCTGGGCACCAGCAGGAAGTCAGTCCCTGAGCTCCTCAGAGTGTGAGATAGTTCATGTGGCACTAATATGTCAGAGATGGACTTTGGTGCTCGGTCATGGAGAGACTTGTACACAAGCAGAGCTGCTTTAAAGTCTCTTAGCCACAGGAGCCAGTGCAGAGACCTGAGCACAGGACTTATGTGCTCGTACTTCCTAGTTCGAGTCAGAACCTGAGCTGCAGCGTCTCACAGCTCGTTTGGAGAGACCAGTGAGCAGAACATTACAGTATCTAACCTACTACAGTACAGTACAGTATCGAACGCATGAATGAGTCTCTCCAAGTCTGCTTTAGACAGTAAACCTTTGATTTTTGTGATGTTTTTTAGATGGTAAAAGGCTGCAGATGTTATTGATTTGATGTGGCTGTTAAAGTTCAAGTCTGAGTCCATTATTACCCCGAGATTTCTTGCCTGATTTGAAGGTTTTAGAGAGAGAGACTGGAGGTGACTGCTGACACTGTCCCTTTGTTTCTGTGGACCAAACACTATGACTTCAGTCTTGTCAGAGTTTAGCTGGAGAAAGTTGTTTTGCATCCACACACTGATCTGTTGGATGCAGTGACAAAGTGAGTCCAGTGACAAAGTGAGTCTAGAAGAGCTTTGGATTTCCTGTTTAGTGCTGATCAGGATCGTGCAGCACAAAGGTTTATTTATTGAATGTTTTAGGACCCTGTGCCAAGGCTACAACAAAAAGAAGGAGGCCAGAGGTTGGATTTTTAAATAAAATATATTTATGAACTAAATCACAAACAAAACATCCTCTGCCTTTTGCCTTTGCATGACTTCTTATTTTAGGCTCAAGATACAAAGTCAGAACAGGAACTGACAAAGAAGGGTCAAAGGACAATTTTCAGCTCAATATTTTTCACAATATTTACTCACATGATAAAGGTGGTCTCAAATACAAACAAAATGACATGAACTAATTTTTGACCAAACATGATGTTACGGCGCAGCAGCTTACACTAGCAGTTAAAAGTTTCGACACTCCGTACATTCTGCACTACCGTATTTTTCAGACTATATGTCGCATCAGCCAAAAAAGTACGTAATGGAGAAGAAAAAAACATAAATAAGTGGCACTAGACTATAAGTTGCACTTTTTGGAGGAAATTTATTTTATAAAATCAGAGACCAGGAACCGACATTTCCTGTTTTCAGGTCTAGTAATAAGAATAGAAGAGAGAACAACAGACTGTTAACGTCACATATTTCACTGTTCTTCAGATAAACTATAACATAAACAACAGAACAGAACAAGTTTACCAAACTCTCCATCTCACTCCAAATCACTAAATCCATTCAATTCTTCATCCTCGGTGTCACTTCTGAGCAACACGGCCTCGACCTCCGGAGGTAAACAGAGCGCCGCTTCCTCTTCTGTGTCGCTGTCGTCAGACTCAGCATCAGTTCCAGTTAGAATGATTCCGGCCTTTCTGAATCTCGACAGGATGGTTTCAGTGTCACTGAAGTTCAGACTTTGTCCATCCATCCAGTGACTTCAGGAAAGTTGCATGGTGCATCCTCCCGGTTACCGTGACGCTGTGTTCTCCATCCCTGCTTTCTGCCAGTCCCTCACAAATTTCTTGCTCACTTCAAACTTTCTTTCTGCTGCTCGATTACCATTTTCTACTCAATATTTCACTATTTGAAACAGGACACATGCAGGAGACATGCACAGTAGAGCCAAGTGACAGTGGTACAGGAGTAATAGGCGAGTTTCAGTTGACGTCATTGTTATTAAAAGCCCGCGTTGCATGCTGGGAAATATTTTGGTCGGAGGCAAGAAACATTATAGCGGTCAAACACAGTGTGTAACCTCGTGTATTTATCCCCGATAATGGTAAATTCCTGCTGCATTATCAGATGCACAAATAGAAGCACGGAAGAAGGAAAATGTCTTTTTCGTATTCTGAGTGAAAAGAACCGCTAACGGTGAATTAAATGGCTTTCAAACATCCGCAGAGCAAACGTAGAAGATCCTAACAAACCGTGGACTCCAACAAGTTCAACAACACATCGAGACTCTTGGAGGTTTTCATCTTTTCTGCTGTGAATGGACCAGGAGTTTCCACCAAGTCATTGTGGATATCAACAAAGTGAATATTTGTCCAGGTAGTTGGTGATTCAGACCAGAAATTTGGTTTGGTCCACCTTTTGTCAGGGTTGAAAAGGGTGATTTGTCGTCCGTCGATGCTTATGACCAATTTCTGGTCAAATTGTCTTGGGTCCTCTGCCGTTAGAGTGGATAAATAACCGGGATCAATACCAATCCGTGTATAATTCGTTCATTCGTTTTTCAATACAAAACCAAAAATAAGAAAACGAAAAAACAACAGTTTTCTTCATTATTTGTCTCCAAAACCAAAATTTAAAAAACGGATAACGATTCGTTTTTTCAGTTTTCGATTTTGTGTTTAAATGAAGAATGGAAAAAACGGATAATGGCCGTTTCCCGTTTACGTGACTTCCGTGACTGCGATGCCGGAATTTTGCACCGCATACGGACTGAATCAGGACTGATCCAGGTCTGAGACCAGACCGGGACCAGAGCGGGACTGAGACCGGGACCAGAGCGGGACCAGGGTGGACTCCGAGCTCTGACTCCGAGCCTCCGCGGGGTCCGAGTCCCAGCTTCGAGTTCCGGCCCTGCCGTGGGCTCTGAGCCTCCGGTCTGGTCCCAGTCTGGTCCTGGTCTTGTCTTGGTCTCAGGCCCGCTCTGGTCCTGGTCTGGTCCCAGTTTAAGTAGCGCTCTGGTCCCGTTCTGGTCCCGGACCTGGTCCATTTGAACCAAAAGCTCTTAGTTCGGTTCGTTTTCGTTGGTGTGAATCAATTGGATGTTTTGCACCACCTCGGAACCAGCCGCGGTTCTTGAGCGCGGAGGACCGGAGCAGCCCGTCCGGACCTGTAGTCCACAGAACATTCTCGCTTTCCCCACACGGAACCGCTCAGACCGCTGGTCTCGGTCTCAGTCCCGCTCTGGTCCCGGTCTGGTCCCGGTCTCAGTCCCGCTCTGGTCCCGGTCTGGACTCGGACCTGGATCAGTCCTAGTTCAGTCCGTATGCGGTGCAAAAGTCCGCCATCTCAGTCACGGAAGTCACGTAAACGGGAAACGGCCGTTATCTGTTTTTTCCATTCTTCATTTAAACACAAAATCGAAAACTGAAAAAACGAATCGTTATCCGTTTTTTAAATTTTGGTTTTTGAGACAAAAAATGAAGAAAACTGTTGTTTTTTTGTTTTCTTATTTTTGGTTTTATATTGAAAAACGAATGAACGAATGACACACAGATCAATACCCTTTACGTGCTTTCTCGCTCCATCCGTCATGTTGAATTACTGTTTATTGCCGCCGACCAAAATAATTCCCAGCATGCAACGCGCGCTTTTGTCAACAATGAAACTCACCTGTAGGAGCAGCAGATGCAGACACACAAGACTAGAGCCTCTCACGGCTTAAGTGTGAACATTTGAATATATAAGTCGCACCGGAGTATAAGTCGCAGGAAACACCCAAACCATGAAAAGAAGTGTGATTTATAGTTTGAAAAATACAGTACTTTCTGCATTTTATATACACACAGAAGACATGGAATTATTTAGTAAAGAAAAAAAGTTAAGTAGCTCTACCAAATATTTTTTGACAAAGCAAAGGGTGTTTTTTGAGAATTTGGTTATAAAATATGAAAAAAAAAAAAAAACATTTAGTAGAGTTTTTTCACTTTTTGTCTTTGCTATATAACTCCATATATCTTACTTCAAATACTGCATGACTATTGTATGTATATAAAATGTTGAAAGTATTAAACACAAAACATTACATGAGGTGTGTCCAGACTTTTGACTGGGAGTGTTTTGCATTTTAAGAGGCTCGTCTGCCTGGTCCACTGTGCAGCTTTCTTTTCAAATCATTTCTATTAAAAACTTTTATTGAATCCTTACCCGCTGTTGTAATTCCCACTCAAAACTCACTCATTTGGAACAATCGGACGTGTTGTAATGTCTAATAGCCCCTTTGAGGATACGGGCTTTACTCCAGATTATTTAATGCAATTTCATGGTTCATACTTAAGAGACTACAGAAATTCAAACCTGCTATTCTCCTCGGTGTTAAAGGGCTTATATTACTATTTTTTATGATCTATCTTATAATGTTTCCTCATCAAAAACATACCTGAATTTATCTTTTATTTCATTCACACGTTTTAGTCACAAACTCTGCAGATTTAGGCTGAGTTCTTCTCTCAAACAAACACTCAACACTCTGTCTCACCTTGTGATGTCATGTGGTAATTAGGGATGGGACAAGATTTTGTGCAAGAAGATCTCGTGAGCCAAAATTCTTGCACATATGAGAAAAATGATCTTGTGAGATTTTGGATCGGACAAAACAGGGTTACAGTTGAGTTACATCTCTTACAGTTCGGAAAAGAAGTAGTAGTATGGAAAGAAAAATATGAAATTAAACAAAATAAAAAATTGTGAGGCCAAAATTGGAAACTGAATCGTGAAATGTATATATTACGCATTAAATTAAAATCTCGCATGTGTTTTTCTCGTGGACCCAATCTCGTATCTCGTCTCATCTTGTGGAAATTGTGTCTCGTCCTGTCCCATGTGGTAATACAGGGAATGCTCCGCTGTTTTGTTTTTTGGTTGTTGTTTTTTTAACTCCATACACCTTGATTAGAATCATTTGGATGATTTCAGTCCTGAAATTGTCCATCTCTACTGAACTAAAGGTAACTGGTAGCGGATAACCTGAAAACAACTGCTTCATGACATCACAAGGTGGAACAGAACATTTTGAGCTTTGGAGATGTAGACAGACTGATAATAAAGAGTTACTCAAACATGTGTGAATGAAACAAAACTCAACTCCAGGTCTGTTTTTGCAGAAATATCAACATTCTAACATGGTGTGAAGCTCACAAGAGTCACTTAAATGATATTTTTGGTGTTTTGTGCTTGTATCTTTCAGGTGGAGTACGTCTTCACAGATAAGACAGGAACTCTCACAGAGAACGAGATGCAGTTTCGGGAGTGTTCCATAAACGGGACTAAATATCGAGAGGTGAACGGAAAACTGGTGCCAGAGGGTCTGACCGAGGACTCACCGGACGGCTCCAATCCAAACATGGTAAAAAAAAAAACACACACACTAATGTGTCACAGTAGGTTTTGTATGAAGTTATATGATGTTTAGTAATCAGAGCCTCATTTGCACCAACTTTATCATCAGACAGTTGCACTTGCATAGAAAAACATATTTAACTAAATGTTTAATAGATATCTTATCTTATCTGCCAAATCCTAATATCAGCCAATAAAAGTGCAGGGATTCATAGTAAAAATATTTTCAGTTAAGCATAAAAAATAAAATAAAATCAATTTAAAAATGTTTGGCCAGTGTTGAGGAGTAACAGATTACATGTACCAGAGAGAGGCCATGTGCACAGTGTACAAAGCAGCACATATGTTTCTGTGTCCAGTGGGAAAAGTTTTGCCAGGTGAGAGTAGCACAATGTCGATGACGAGTCCCCACCTCCCTTCCCCCGTACGGTGTCCTGGTTTTGACAAACGCAAATATGGTCACACTAACCTGTATTTCACTGAGTCATGTCCTTTAACCCGACAGAAGCTGAACCACATCAGCGACACAAGAGCTGTTTTTTTTAATCTTTGCTTAGTTTATGCAAATTAGCGATGCGGTTTTAAGTTTTGTTTCTGTGAGAGTTGCGCAAAAATTAATTAAACACATTATAATGTCAAACGGACTGATGTGGCTCTAGAGTCGTTATGGTTTATATGTCGTAAAGATGAATTTATTTATGCAGATTAGGAGTGCAGATAGTAATAATAATGATGATCATTTTAATATAAAATCGTTAATGATTAATCGATAATCGATCGTTAATTCTTCCGACGATCGATTAAGAAAATTTCATCGAATGCCCGTCCCTAGCTGGAACACATTTTAATCTTATTCCATGTAATAATAATGTTTTGCACCTTCTTCTCTTCCTTCCTTCCTTCAGGCTGGAGAGGAGCTGCTGTTCCTCAAAGCTGTGGCCTTGTGTCACACGGTTCAGATCAGCTACGATCAGCCCGACTGCACTGTCCCAGGATCAGACCCTTTCTCTCACGTCAACGGCTTCTCTGCAAATCACATGGAATACTACGCCTCCTCCCCCGACGAGAAGGCCCTGGTGGAGGCTGCAAAGAGGTGAGGGCACAAAATTCAGCACAGTTAAGACGACATTTGTACAGCCCTATTAAAAGCATTACATTTGACTTGCTGATACTGATTCCCGTTTTATATAATTTCACATTTTTTTGAGTCGTCCGAGGTCTTCACACACGAGCTCGTCTGTGCTGTAAACAGGAGCTGGGACTCTGCTCACAGTTTTTGATCATTGCACAAAATGGCCATGACAGGACGTTGTATTTCTCCAGCTGCTCTGTGCCTCTGTGTCAGCTCCTGCCGTAAAATATTTCAGACACTTTGGCCCCGAGCAAAATAAAAAGAGAATTCTGCGATTCTTTCACAATAAACTATAGTGGTATTTGTCAGCGAGGCCAGTCCAGGTGCTGTTAAACCCAATCACTTCAGGTTAACTCGATTTTTGAGATTCTTTAAAGGTGCAGTGTTCAACTTTTCTGTTAGGGGGTTTGTCATACGTTTGTCTCCATAGTGATATTATTTCTTTGCCTGTAATGTTTCACAGTATGGCATTAAACTGTCTTCAACCTCTTGCGTTTTTGTTTTCAATTCCATTCACTTTATTGCTTAAAAAAAATTGCATGTAAGGTACAATTTGTCCTGGTTGTGTCGCCTGCTTGACTCCATAATAATACATTTAATGCCGTACTGTGGAATTTTATAGGCAAAGCAATGGGTCTTACTTGTTTATTGAAATACCCATTATAATCTGCAGTGTGCTGTGTCAGATACTCTGGGGTCATTTTAAATTCAACATTTAACATTCATATTAATCATAAACAATCACTTCTCACTGGAGAGACAGGCAGGTAGTACTGTGCTGTGCAAATATTCACATTTAATCAAGATTTAGTCATTTCTAATTCAGCTTGGGTCATTTAATGGAGAGGTTTGTGGTTTAGAGTTTTTATTAAGACAACTGTATAACATATTGTTTTAATATGACAAGGCATGGGAGGTTATAGAAATTATGACTAATTTTGATTAACAGTAATATCAGTATAAACATGTTGCAGTTATTACTTATTACTAATTATAATTTGAATGTTATGAATTAGTTCCATCTTTAAGCTACTTTATAGCATTGTACTTTGCTATTAATGAAAATAACAGTGATCTAGAAGACTATAACAAGGATAAGTTGCTTTTTTCAGCACATTCCGGTGATAAAATGGCGACTATCTTGGTTGGCGATTATATAATGTCCCACAAATGATTATTGTGTACCCTTTTTATCATGATAAATTATATTATTGTTTATTGTCCCATCCATAAATATGAGGGAAAAAACATGGTACATTTTTTGTCTTATTACGCCCACAAGCAGGTAGTGGGGTATTTTTCCCGTCTGTCTGTCATTGGCCTGGTGTGGTCTGATCCACTCTGTAAGCCTGTTTGTGAATACTAACAGCTGTAATTGATTCTTTATCGTCGACAGAATCGGAGTAACCTTCACCAGCAGCAACGGAGACACGGTGGAGGTCAAAACGTTCGGAAAGATGGAAAAGTAAGTCCCTCTCTGCGTTTTCATTGCTCGTGATTATCAGCAATAATAATAACTACGACAAAATAATCACCAGATTAAAATGTCTTTTTTATTATTATTTATTATTATTTGTTTTCATTTTTCAAGTGTTTTAATATACACTAGGGGTGGGGGATATATCGATATTTTAAATATATCGAGATAGTTTTTAAACTCGATATGAATTCTGACATATCGTATATATCGATATAATGCTTATATTCAATTCTGATTTTGCCGCTTCGCTTGTTTGTCTTCTCTCTCGTCGCCCGCGCGCCTCCGCCTCCCTGAGTTTGTTCGCTCGTGTCTCCTTCACTCGTCACTGTCGCCCTGAACGCCGAAAGTTGGTGCCAGTGAAAAGCTTCAAGCACCATGAACCTTTTCCACCATTTACAGACAAAACCATCAGCAGCACATCCTCATATTCCACCGAATCTCGTCCTTTAGCCCGAAAGAAGCTAAACGAGCTGAGCTGTGTGAGAAGTGCTGTTTATGCAAATGAGCCATGCGCTTAAGTTTTGTTTCTGTAAAATGTAAACACACGTGCATAAAACTACATTAAACACATTATTATCACAAACGAGCTGATGTGGCTCTAGAGTCTTTATGCTTTATATATTGTAAAGTTTAGTCATGTAAAGTTTATTTATGCAGAATATTTTAATTAATAATCTGCTGCAGTGTCACTTGTACAATAGTGTTTGGAAACGTTGGGTTTGATGTGCAGTGGATTGTGGGATTAAACCTCAGAGCTCCTTACTGCTGCATAGGAACATGGATCTATTGAAATAAGGAACATCCTGAGTAGAGCCCGACCGATATGGATTTTGTTGTGGCCGATATGAAACTGGTATAATGGGAGTTGGAGCTGCCGATAGCCGATATAATCGCCGATATATTTAGTGATGTAAAAATTCACTGTAAATCTTGAATTGTTTAAAAAACTTTGGTTTGGCTCTAATGGATTTTAAATTGGGTTTATTTAGGCAACATTTATTGTTATTCTGACTCTTTATATCATATTTACATACAGCAGATTGGCCTAATGGCATTTTTGCATCACATTCTAGCTACTATTGATGGGTATTCCATTTTTTTTTTTTTTTTTTGGAGAACCGGCTCTTTTGGCTCTGCTCACTAAAGCAGCTGGCTCTTTCGGCTCCCAAGCGACTCTTGATTGTTTTGTTGCAAGCAGGACTAAACCAAAACTGAACCAGGACTGAAAAAGGACTAAACCAGGACTAAAACAGATTTAAACTATGTGTAAAACAGGACTAAACCAGAACTGAACCAGGACTGAGTGTCGGGACTCGGTTTCTATCTCTCTCTCAATCCCAAGTTTAGTCCTGGTTTATTCATTTTATGCTGAACTGCAGCCAAATATGCACCTTTTTTTAAATCCTATGCACACGCAGATTTCTGAAAGTTTCGTTTTCAGCCGCTGCTGCTGTCAAACTACGGGTCTACATGCGGCTTGAAGAGAAAAAGTGAGAAAAAGAGAAAATACGGCTCCCAATAAGAAACATTCTCCCGTTGTTCGCTTCAAAGAGCCGGATCTAAGAGCCGCTTCGATCGCGACCGACCCATAACTCCTAGCTAGTAAATAAACTACCGCTATTAGCCTTTAGCCGTAAAAACACGCCACAACTGAACAAAGCCCAGAGTCACCGTGAACGCCACAAACAAACAAAACCACTCACCCATCACACTGTTGTGTTTCCTTTAAAGTTCAGTGTGGTTTATTTGTGAAAAAAGTAAAAAAAATAGACCATTTAATGACAGTGCACCTTATAATCCAGAGCAACTAATAGCCCGGGAAAATACAGCAAACTAAACTAAACTAAACATTATAAATAAGTTGTACATTTCTGTTTAAAAGTTTGTAATTTTTGGTTGGGGCTCCGTCACCTGTTCTATGGAATGTTCCACAGTATGACATTAAACAACTCTACTTTACTTTTTTTTTTTTAATTACACATGGCATTCTGACTGTAAGCGGGGTCGCCTCTCCACAGATCTGACCTGTAACTTAGTCCGGTTTGGTTTCCACAAAGACAGAAAGGTTTAATGCCATACTGTGAAACATTCCAGACAAAGCAACAATATCTCAACAGAGAAAAGCGTTTGACAGACCCTCCACCAGAAAAGCGACACATCCATCCATTTTCTTCTGCTCCCAGACTTCCTTCACCCCAGACACGTCCTCCAGCTCCTCCAGGGGGAAAAGCAACACAATGTACCATTAATTAAAGTGTAAAGTTGTATTAATTGAATCATTTTGCCTCTCTAGGTTCAAGCTCCTCCACGTTTTAGAGTTCGACCCAAACAGAAGAAGGATGAGCGTCATTCTACAGACTCCAGCAGGTAAAATCACTTTGACTGAGGATCATTTCAGTATCAGCGTAATAAAACTCTCCATTCTGAAAAGTGACCACGTCTTTGCTTCTCTCTGAACCTCCTCTGTGTTCTTTCTGCAGGAGGACAGATCATGTTCACCAAGGGAGCGGAGTCGGCCATTTTGCCTTTCACCAGCAGCGGGGAGATGGAGAAGACGAGACTGCACGTCGACGAGTTTGCTTTGGTGAGACTTTGATTTATTCTCAGGGAAGTAAAGTCTTTGGAATAGTGCGGGGCACTTCTCTGGTCATGTGTTCAGTAGAAAGCATACATGTAATAAAAGCAGTAAGAAAAAGGAAAGGTACAATACTAAAGAACAAATTTTAGGTATGTGTACTTTACTTAAGTACATTTTACAGTGGATACTTTTTACTTTTACTTCTCTGCATTTGAGAGCAGGTATCTGTACTTTCTACTCCACTACATATTAGATCTGGACTGAAAAGTAAAAAGTACTTTGAAATCACTGAGACTTTTTAGCACATTTAATTTGAGTTTCTGTCTCAACCAAATGCACAAAAACAGCTAGAAATTTTAAGAAAACATCTGAATTAGTTCAAATCAACTAAATTCATTATCAAAATCACTACATGTCATCCTTTTTAATTGTTCTAAATGTTCAAAATGAAGGGATTTTTTCATGTGATACTTGAGTAACTTATTGCCCCGTATCTGTACTTTTACTCAAGTAACAAAATGGAGTACTTCATCCACCGCTGAATATAAGAGGAGAAGAAGTGTTTAATTGTGGTCAATAGACCCTGCATTTTAAATGAATTTACACTAAACTTTTACTCTGGCCTTTAGATCATTTATTATATTGTGGAAATAACTTTAATTTTTACTAAGAATGCATCATTCAGAACAGTTTAATGCAGTTTCAGCTAATGGTTATATTGAAGTAATTATTTAAAGATGCATTGTGCAACTTTTCTGGTGCATGTCCGCTACTTACTTGTCTCCATGGAGCAATTGATGTTGCTTTGCTTGGAATGTTCCATGGTGTGACATTAAACACATCCATCAAGCACTCTTTATTACTCATTACAGGTGTTTCTGTTGCTCAAAAATACTGTAATTCCTTCTGTGAATAGAGACGACTCTCCACAGATCTGAATTGTAAGTTAGTGCTGTCTCCCTTTTTTTTTTTTTTTTTTGGAAAGAGCAAATATTTACATATTAGGGATTTCCAGTTCATCTTTCCACTTTTGGTATATAAACCATTCAATTCATATTTTGATGGATAAAATGCACAAAACACATTTTATATGTACGACTGGACTCATTTGAGAGTTTACCAATATTAATTTTATGCTCAACTGTAGACAAATATGCACGGATTTCTCAAATATGCACAGATTTCTATCCTATGCACATGAATATTTCTGAAATCTTTCTTACTCCTTATATAATAAAAAAGAAAGAAAAAAATAAACACTGCACTATTTACAAGAACAGGGGAGCGTACAGGAACATAAATGCAATCAAAGAGTGTATTATATAGAGTAAAATAAAATTTCTTCACCAGAAATGGAGAAGTTACAAAACATCTTTAATTATATAAAATTCTAGACATGATAATTAACATGAATAAATGTGTAGAATTGGGCAGTTTTTGTGTTGCAACATAAATATTCAGACTGCTTTTAGTTACTTATTGATACTTTGCAGCTGATGTCAACATTCCCTGGACGTGTGATTCTAACTGAAGGTTCTGCTCTGTCTCTTCAGGATCATCTTGTCAAATCTCAGTCCAGTTATTTCTGACTCATGATGCTCTTGGTTTAATATTAAGTTTCGTAAAAGGTGCATTGTGTAACTTTTCTAGTGGAGGGTCCATCAGATGCTTTTCTCTGTTCTGATGTTGTTGGTTTGTCTGGAATTTTTCACTGTATGGCATTAAACCTTTCTATCGTCATGGAGACCAAACCAGGGCAGGTTACAGGTCAGATCTGTGGAGATGTGACCCCGCTCACAGTCAGAATGTCTGTTTTTCTCTGTATTTTTGAGCTATAAAACCACCTGTAATTGAATAAATGTAAAGTAGAGCTGTTTAATGTCACACTGTGGAACATTTGAAGCAGCGATGCAATATCTATAGAAACAAGAAGGTGGACTTTGAGGGACTTTTACCAGTTTTTAGTTATTTCCGTTTTTTTCATTGAAAAATTGACATCGGGTAGAGCGCTTTTTCACAGCTTTATCAAAGTGTCTGCTCCTGTTTATATAGTGAGAAAGTGGAGAGAGATTTCACACCTGGTTTTACCCCTGCACGTCTCTGGTGCAGCTTCGGAACGGATTTGACAGAGGACCTTAACAGTTCTTAGTGTTACTAAAAATATCTGCTCTCAAAGACCCTCCAGAAAACTGTTCTGCAATGACAATATCATGGTCCATTTTTTATGATGATATTGCTCTTAGGGTAAATAGAGCCTGGCACTCTTCAGTAGGTTTACACGAGGTCACAGTTCTGTGGTGGAATTTGTGGTTTAACTGTCAGATTGTTGACCTAGTTTATGGTTAATATCTCTGCACCAGTTTTTGTTTCCTGTGCATAGGCACAGTAATTACAAAGTCCATTGTCTTCTCTGTTAGCCTAAATAAACAAAAGTGAAAAATGATTCTTTTCATAATGTTGTTGTAACCCAAGCCGTCTTTTGTCATCGTCTTCTAAGTTAGTCCCAGGAATTCTGCAGCTCCTCTATAGAGATCCTACATGGAGACTTGGTGGTTCTGGCTTTGCAGGTGAACAGGTGCTGTGTTGTTTGAGATGTTTGGCCACAAACATCTCATACAAACATTGGTGTCAGTGGAGCAGTGGTAGTTCAGTGGGTAGAACGTTTTTCTGCTGATCCGAATGTTGGCGGTTCAAATCACTCTCTCGACATAAGCATCAGTAGTTGAGTGGTCAGATCCACAGACCCACAGGTTGGCGGTGTGATTCCAGCTCCCACAGATGAATGCAGCTGATGTCATGTCCTTGGGCAAGATACTTAACCCACCTCAATCAATCAATCAGTTAATCAATCAAAATGTATTTATAAAGCACAAATTTCAAAAAATCAAACACAATGTGCTTTATAGTGGTTAAAAACAATCCCACATTTCCTTCCACCCACCCACACGGCCCCCACAGCAACCAAACAACCCAGACACACACACGCACACACGCACACACGCACACACACACATACACGCACATACACTAACATGCTAAAATGCATAAAACTACAATAAAACTACACACAGTGAAATGTGAGGCAGAATCGAGACAGCCCCGTGTGTGAACGGGTGAATGGTTCCTTGATGTAAAGAGCTTTGAGTGCTCTGAAGAGGTGTAAAAATGTGACCATATACATGTTAGTGTCAGTGCGAGTGAGGTCTGAGTTCAAGAGCCGACTGTATCCTGAGTGCACCTGGTGTCTGTGGGCAGCTTCAGCTCCTCAGTTCACCTTTGGGACAGGATCACCTGAGTGTTGAGTCCAGACAGACGGGGTACAGGCTGAGACTTGAGCCGCCATGTGTTGGTGTATGAACCCAATGAACCCAATTCCTGCTACTGTCCTCACTGATGTTGGTTTTAGTATTATGAAAAGATTTTTTTTTTTTTTTTTTTATTAAAGCTTCAGAAAGTAGTACCATTATTCAACCCCAAAGATATGAGTGTTGTCAGCAGAAATTATTTAAAATCATAAGATGAATATAACAAGTCTGATTTATTAAGTTGCATTCAGTATCATCTCATTATAGATTACTGTACACAGCCTTTGTGGACATTTAGTTATTTGTTTGGGTCTAGATCAATTTGAAACAGTGTTTTTAAGCGTTTGTACCTTTGCCAGATAGCATTATGGCCTGAAAGATTCATTGCAATCGAAATTAGAATGGACACAATTAGCCGCTTGCAAAGGCTGCAGTTACAGTAGGACAGTGTTTTCTGCAGAGAGTTAAGTCATTTAAAGGTCTTATATTACACAAAGTTAGCTGGAGTTTTTGGGGTGATTCAAGAGTTAAATCTGCCTTTTCACTTACAAAGATGCTCTTTATTTTACTTCTATTCTATACATGGTCGTTTTTGTGTGAAATCATAATATCGTTTGCCACCACCCGCACCCTTTTAGTAAATAAATTAATGTGTACAGAAGGGGTCCCCAACCTTATTCCTTCGGTGAGCTACCTTTACAAAAAGAAAATACCAGAGAGCTACTAGTTGTAGCTGTCACAAGAAATGGAGTATATTTAAGTGCCACGACGAGCCTTAAATGCTGTACAGTTAGACGCCAATAAACCAAATAATAAAAAAAAAACATTATCCATTTATTAGTGTACAAAGTTCTGCATCAAAATAATACATGTTCAGTTGTAATAGGCATTTAATTAATCAAATGTTACTTTTTCAAAACAATGCATGTTATTCAGAAATCTCATGGCGAGCTTTAAGCATGTTATACTGCCCTTCCCTTTATTGTAGCCCTTTATTATTAGTCTGTACACATCTCCAAAGCTCACAATTCTCTGTTCCAACTTGTGATGTCATAAAGTGGTAGTTTTCAAGTTAATAGCTACATTTTCTTTTTTAGTTCAGTAGAGATTGGCAATTCCAGGGAAGGGAGCAGAGAGCTACTGGTAGCTGCCGAACTACAGGTTGGAGACTCCTGGTGTAGGGCATGTCTTTTTTTGACCAAGAATTAATTTTGTTAACTACATCCGTAAATGAAAACACACACATAAAAATATGAAAAAGAACAAATAAGTAAGAATATTATTGAAGTTTAACTTAACACTAAATCCACTGTGTAAATGGCGTTTTAATAGCATTATCTTCTTTTTTTTGCAATTTGAGTATAAATGTGCAGCTTTCAGAATGTTCAGAAACATCTAAATTAAAGTTTTTGTGACCTCTGCAATTTCAAGTAGTTGGTGACATCAAACAGGACACCTGGCTGCAGGGGCGGAGTCTGAAGCGTGGATACCTGTTAGACCAATCACAGTGTTCCTTATACCTCCAGACCCTGCCCCTCCTCCCCCCCTTACACTCCCCTTTAGTCCTCCAGGTATTGTCCAGTTTAGCAGCTCTGTGGGTGCGTCTCATTTCTCTTTCCTCGTTTCCTTCTCCTTGATTCCTCTCCTCGATCCTCCAATTTTCAGCTGTCAATCAAATGTGTCATATAAAGTGGTGTCCCAAAGAAAACCACAGAAGAAAGGAGTAAACATGAGGGAGGTTTCAGGAGGCAGACATCAAACTTTATTGGTCTCAGTGAAGCGTTTACATCCTCTCTCCTCCCTGTGTCTCCTCTCCATTTCCTTCAGAATCGAGGAAAGGAATCATGGAGCAAGAAGCGAAGAAAGAAAAATGAGACGCAGTCTGTTTGAAATTGTGTTCGTGGGCGGAGTTTAGGCGTAGAGTCCGATTTTAATTCTCTCCCTCTTTTTTGCCCGTGTGTAGAAAGGCTTGCGCACCCTGGTGGTGGCCTGCCGTCACTTCAGCCCAGAGCAGTACTCCGAGGTGGACAGACGTCTGAACGCGGCACGCACCGCTCTGCAGCAAAGAGAAGAGAAGCTCCAAGAGGCTTTTAACTTCATCGAGAGGGACCTGCACCTGCTGGGAGCCACTGGGGTCGAGGACAAGTACGTGCATGATTCAGAGTGTGTGAGAATACTGGTGCGTTTACATGAACCAGGGCGCAGAGGCAGCTCAGTTATCCTTAGTGTGACTACTGCACAAACTAAAAGTATAGGTAAAAATCCGAGAGTAAAACTTAATGATTTTAATTATAGTTTAATAGTATATGAAAGGTTTCCCCCAAACAGTGTTGGGGAGTAACAGATTACATGTACCGGAGTTATGTAATCAGAGTACAAATTATGAGTAACTGTATTCACTTACAGTTACTGTTTCAGTGAGTGGTAATTGGATTACTGTTACTTTGTTGAAATAAATGGATTACACACAGGTATTTTCCTGTTTTCACATTTTGGGTTATATCCCTTTTTTTTTATTTTGATAATTCCACTCATTGCTGGAAACCCAAACAGAACGTGGCAATAAGAGCGACGTAAACATCTTTTTAACATTGGTGGCATCAGTCGCACAATGGACGAGGTTGTTAATAATCGGTGTTGATAATAATCTGAGTCTGCATCATTTTGAGTAAAAAACATCCAATATTACAGATTTTTACTGGGCTGGTGCCTTTATGTTTGTACTGAAAGTGATTTTTTTTTTAAATAAACTATATGACACTAACAGCAGGGTGGACATAATTTAAGGTGATCTCATAAACAAATCATTTCTCTATCAATAATATTTTTAATCTGGTTAAGGAAAGACTGGGCTTTTTATTCTCTTTTAACAGACAAAACATTATATGTTAAGATTTCCTCGTCTTTGCTTCTCTACAGTAAACAAAAGTCTGTTCATGGAGATTTGGCTGAACAGACAATTTGAAGAGAACAAACAAGAATTTTCAGGATGTGGTTGTTACATTCATGTCGTTTTAAAAAGACAAATGACAATATCAAGTAATCCAAAGTATTCAGATTACGTTACTCACTTTAAGTAATTTAATGGATTATGTTACAAACTACATTTTGGGGTATGTAATCTGTAATGTGTAGGGGAATACATTTTAAAAGTCACCTTCCCAACACTGCCCCCAAAGAGTGTAGTATAAAAGTAAACTCTGTCTGCATCAAATTACTATAAGCGTTTTAAGTATTGCAAACTGGAAGAAAGAGCTGAACGTTGAGAGTGGATGGATCGAGGCTTGACTCACTGAAAAAAAGCTCTTCTAACACTCCACACGTACCTGATAATTGATTTTTCTGAATATGGATGACGTGCCAAAGGGTTTATGAGAGCTACAAATAGAGTGATACTAAAACATAGATTGAAATACATACGTTGATATTCTGGTATTATTTACGAGTGGCAGCAGTGATCTACAAAGACTCAACCGCTTTCCAAGACACACAGATCTTAAAATAAAGCCTCTTGTATATTGTAAGAACAAAAATGTGGCTGTTTGCTAGAGGTGTTCATTCACTGAAAACAGGTAGCGTGTGCTCTTGGAAAACAAGACTTGGACAAAATGAAACTGAGACTAAATGAAATCCAGGCACCCCAGTTGGTAGAGCGTTTGTCCACTGTTCCAAAGGTTGGTGGTTCGAATCCCACTCTCGTCATAATAAACATCATTGGTTGAGCGGTCAGATCCTCTGACTCACAGGTTGGCGGTGTGATTCCAGCTCCAACAGATGAATGCTGTTGTTGTGTCCTTGGGCAAGACACTTAACCCACCTCGCCCCCAGTGTCTGCACACATTGGTGTATAAATGTGTGTGTGTGAATGGGTGAGTGGTTCGTTGTTGTAAAGCTCTTTGAGTGTCTTGAAGGTGGAAAAGCGTTTTATAAAAATGTGACCATTTACCCATCATGTCTTCATCAGCGCTTATTTCAAATCAGGCTTTGGCCATTTAAATATAGACCTGTGGTCCATGTACCATTTGTTCTTTTGAATTTCAAATTAAGAACGAAAAACGATAAAATGGGAAAACAGTTTGTTATTTCAGTATTCTCTTTTAGTGTAAAAAAAAAAATAATATATATATATATATATATATATATATATATATATATTATATATATATATATATATATATATATATATATATATATATTATATATATTCGACCTCTATTTCCAATATTTAATTTAAAATTAATTTCAAATAGCCATCTATCAGTTTTCTTCCGCTTATTCAGGGCTGGGTCGCAGGGGCAGCAGTCTAAGCTGGAACTCCCAGACTTCCTTCACCCCAGACACTTCTCTGTGTCTTCTTCTTCACCCCCCCTCCTCTGGGGGGACCCCGAGGTGTTCCCAGGCCAGCCCAGAGACATAGTCCCTCCAACTGGGTCTTCCCCGGGGCCTCCTCCCGGTGGAACATGCCCGGAACACCTCCTGAGGGAAATCCCCATTAGGCATCCACAACAGATGCCCGAGCCACCTCAGCTGGCTCCTCTCCACATGGAGGAGCAGCAGCTCTACTCCGAGCTCCTCTCATACTTCAAATACCATAAATCATAAAACAGTCATCGTACCCATTTCAATATTTATATTTTATACTCTCTCGTTTATTTGCCGTGGAAGTTCTGCTGCTAGAAGGACTTACCTAAAAAATCATTGCAGTTTTGTCCTCTTTTTATAGTGACATGTTTACTTTCCAGTCTTAGAAAATCTATGATGAGAAACAGGTAGCGGCGAGACGATAAACTCTCCTTTGTTCAGTTGACACAGAGCTAAGCAGCAGAACTTCCAAGGCATACAAAGCAGAGAGAATAAAATATCAAAGTTTGAAATAGGCACAATACCTGTTTTTTGACTGGTGTTATTTGAAATTAACTTTAAATTAAATATTGGAATTTTTGACACTAAAACAGAAATAAATAAACCGTTTTCCAATTTTATTTTTCGTTCTTAACTGAAATTCAAAAGAACAAATGGTACACGGACCTCTTTTAACTTTACGCTTTACCTTGTGTTTCCTTTTACTTTTCTGGAGTGCCTGGATTTCGTTTTATCTAAGTTTTGGGTCTCTTGTTCACACCAACCAAACTGACCCCACTAAAACAGATGAATATAGAAAACATTTAATACGCACATCTGTTTTTAAAATGTTTAGAATAATTTGAAGCATTGAAGCATTCAGAAACACGTGGACTCTTTAAATCCAGTGTGGTGTCTTGAGCAGAGCCGTGTATGGGGAAATGAATGTTGTGTTTGAATAGATTCTCCTCTCCATCTGTTCCTGTGCTTCCTCCTTATCTCTGCCTCTGCTCCTCTCCCTCTCATCCACTATCAGACCATCTCCATTACATTCTGACCTCTCACAATACAAAGAATATTACGCAGCCAAGGCAATATTAGATTCCATTTACTTTCTTTTCTCCAGACATATACACTGCACTGTAGAGAACTAATTAAAGATGCAATATGTCACTTTTGTAGTGGAGGTCTGCCATCTTTTTGTCTTCATGGAGATCTTAAAGGTTCTACAGTCATTTACTCAAAATGAACTCTTGTGAGATTTAAGTCATGTTATAATGTTGTTTCCTCATCTAAAACAGACTTGGAGTTGTGTTTTTGTTTCATTCACATATGTTTGAGTAATCCTTTATTATTAGTCTGTTTACATCTCCAAAGCTCCAAATGCTCTGTTCCAACTTGTGATGTCATGAAGTGGTAGTTTTCAAGTTAATAGCTACATTTTATCTTTTAGTTCAGTGGAGACTGGCGATTCTAGGGCTGAAATGATCCAAATGATTCTAGTGAAGGTGTATGGAGTTTAAAAACACAGAGGAGCACTTCCTGTATTACCACATGACATCACAAGGTGGAACAGAGTGTTTTCAGTTTGAGAGGAGAACTCAGAAAAACTCATATCTGCAGGGTTTGTGAATGAAACAAAACACAACTGTGTTTGTGATGAGAAAATTACATTATAACACAGATCAGACATGCAATATGAGCCCTTTAATACTTTTGACTTTGAAAGGTTCCACAGTGTGGCATTTAACTTGTCTAACTCCACTGAAATGAACAACTGACAGTTACATGTAAAATCTGTGGAGAGGTGAGCCCACTAACAATAAAAATGTTCCTAAATAAACATTTTCTGAGCAATATTAACAGCTGCCATTGACTAGAGGTGTATGTTTAATGTCATACTGTGGAACATTATTGGTTAAGCAATAACATCTCCATGGTGATAAGCTGGTGGTGTGTCTCACATCAAAAAGAAAGTTACACTGTGCACCTACTTTTGCCTTACAGTTTAACACAATAGGTCTCCATCATTTTAAGTCAGAGAGGTAAAACTCATATTGATAAAAATAAACAACAGATGAACATGATACATGGCATATTACCACATTTTTTGACTATAAGTCGCTCCGGAGTATAAGTCGCAAGAAAAAACATAAGTCGCACTTTTTGGGGGAAATTTATTTTATAAAATCAGAGACCAGACATTTCATCTTGAAAAGCAAGTTCTTAGCCAGGCTGGTGCCACCTATTGGCTCCACTCAATTTCATTTCTCTCCAGCGACTAGGCCAGGAATCACAATACAATAGACGGTTTGCAAATACCCCCGGAAGTGCAAGTATATTCTGTGTTGTCAACGATTCCCAAGATCGAGAATTTAAAGCTGGAAAAAAGAGAATGTTTGGTCAATTTTATCAAGGGGGAAGATGTAATTGTCCTTCTTCCTACGGGATTTGGGAAAAGCTTAATATACCAGTTAGCCCCGTTAACGCCCCATCGCATACGTGACTACCAAATAGTAGAGATTGGTTAAATGATAAAAAGTACCCGCCTACCGTCAAGCGAACGAATTCTAACACGGCAAGGTCAGACGGTTTCTATGAAGTGAATCGAAGTGAATCTGGCTGATGAATCAGGCAAGCACTTTCTAGTAATAACAATAGAAGAGAGAACAACAGACTGTTAACATCACATATTTCACAGTTCTTCAGATAAACTATAACATAAACAACAGAACAGAACAAGTTTACCAAACTCTCCATCTCACTCCAAATGACTAAATCCATTCAATTCGATCCTTCCAGTGACTTCAGGAAAATTGCATGGTTCACCCTCCCGGGGAAACTGTTCTCCATCCCCGCTTTCCACCAGTATCTCATGAGTTTCTCGCTCACTCCAAACTTTCTTTATGCTGCTCGATTACAGTTTTTGCCTAAATATTTCACTACTTGCAGCAGGACAGCGGCTTTTTCTGCAGGAGACATGCGCAGTAGAGTGAAGTGACAGTGGTACAGGGGTAATAGTAGTAGCAGATACTGACACACTCGCAGAGTGCTCGTGGCTGTCAGTGTGAACATTTTAATATACAAGTCTCACCGGAGCTTAAGTTGCAGGAAACACCCAAACCATGAAAAAAGTGCCACTTATAATCCTAATAATACTGAAGTCTTTTGTAGAGCTGTTTTCATGTTTTTTTTTTTCATGGCCTAGATTGTATTCCTGTTTGCATGACTCATTCTTATTTAGTGGCTTTACTCTGGTTATTCATTTCTAGGTCACTGCGTTCACATCAAGTTTGTCATTGTAGTTTTTTAATATTCATAGATGAGAAAGACACATTGTTCATAATATATTCATTATTCAAGTCAATTTAGTAAAACTGCATTAATCAAATTATAAAGGTGACAAATATTGCTTAAAGCTACCATCTGAATTTAGACCAGCTCACCCACCCCTGTTGTAGTTTCACAAATTGCCACTAGGTGCTGTCTACATGACTGCTGTCTGATGGTGTGCTAGTTTTGGCATGTCGGAAAAACACCAGAGAGCACAGGTGATTTCAAAACAAAACAAACCAAAAAAAAACTGATGGTAGCTTTAAGGAGCATTGTGTAACTTTTTGGTGGGGGTCCGTCACTTGCTGTGAATGTATCATTGCTCTGCTTTGAATTTTCCACAGTATGACTTTTAACAGTCGTATTATATTTATTCAATCAGAGGTGGTTTTATTGGTCTAAAATACCTAGAAAAACAGACATTCTGACTGTGAGCAGGGTTGCCTCTCCACAGATCTGACTTGTAACTTGGTCTGGTTTGGTTTCTTCATGAAGATAAAAAGGTTTAATGCCATACTGTGAAACATTCCAGACAAAGCGTGGCCATACCAGCATGTTAAAGCCTCATCCCATCAGATCTCAGAAGCTCAGCAGGTCTGGTTAGTACTTGGATGGGAGACCACTGGGAAAGTCAGGAGCCACAGGGGGGCGCCAGTTGTAGAAACTGTTGTTGTGTCCTTAGGCAAGGCACTTCACCCTCATTGCCCAGTATGAAATGGTGTGTGTGTGAGTGATGGTGGTGATTGGAGGGGCTTATGGTGCAGATTAGTAGCCTTGCTTCCATCAGTCTGCCCCAGGGCAGCTGTGGCTACAGTAGTAGTTTACCAACACCGGGTGTGGAGTGAGTGAATAAGGCTGCGTTCACACTGCAGCCTGAAGTGACCCAAATTTGATTTTTTGGCCCCTATGTTCCTGTATCTGATCTTTTAATGACAGTCTGAACGACACAGATCCGATTTTTTTCAAATGCGACCCAGGACACTTGGATATGTGCTCCTGAAACTGATACATATCTGATCTTTTGACATGTGACTTCAGTCTGAACGGCCAAAGTGCATTCATCCACCTACACGTTATCAACAAGCCACAAACGTCACTATTCTGCACTGAAGTAGGCGAAAATTGTTAATGAACTCTGTGTCACTGAAGTGAAGCACATCACCACTCACCACTCTTGGCTCCGTCTCCACATCCACACGTTCCTTTCAACAGACGTCGCTGCCGCTGTCCCACAAAACCCCATGGCCAAAAACCTCGTCCTTCTCCTTCTCAATCTCCTCCTTAAAACAAGTAAGTTGTTCATGTTCTGGCTCCGGTACGAGAGGAACTTTAAAATCTCCAGGTGCTCAATGCTGCGTCCATGTTTGGACAACTTCTGTAAACACAGAGCACGCTCAGTGCGGTTGATGTCGTCGTGTCTCCAGTGTCACATGTGGGACACTTTCGGGCTGTTTAATGTTCACACAGGGGATCACATACAAGTCGCATTTAATTGGAAATGTGAACGACCTCGCAAAAACATGGGATTTCACAAAAAAATCTGAATTGAGCGTTAAGCCCTGCAGTCTGAACATAGCCTAATGCTCTAACCCTAACCCTAAAGCGTCTTTGAGTGTCCAAAAAAGCGCTATATAAAACTGATGCATTATTATTCATTATTAAAGAAATAACACCTTCACAGAGGAAAGTATTTGATGAGCCCTCCACCAGAAAAGTTACACAATGCACCTTTAAATAAGTTAGAAACATTTTGTATATCAGAAGTAAACACTTTAGCCAGAGAAAAGAAATGGTTTGAGATGAGACTGAAAGAGGCCATTTTTGTTTGGAAAGACAATCCATCTTTAAACAGAAATGGGAGGCTCAGACTTCATCTCTGTCCTGTTTACAACTCCATTTTCTTCTTCTTCTGCCTCGAAAATCTGGGAAGAAAGCCACACATCTAATATAATAAAATAAAAAACTGATGATAACTATAATACTGTCTTTACTCTTTACAGCTTGATGCACAGTGAATGAAAATATGCACACGGTTTTCTTTCTTTTTTTCCTTTTCTCCCTCAGACTCCAGGACAAAGTGCAGGAGACCATAGAAGCCCTGCGACTGGCTGGGATCAAAGTATGGGTGCTGACTGGGGACAAACACGAGACGGCGGTCAGTGTGAGCCTGTCCTGCGGCCACTTCCACAGAACCATGAACATCCTGGAGCTCCTGCAGCAGAGGTCTGACAGTGAGTGTGCGGAGCAGCTACGCAGGCTGGCACGAAGGTGAGGCTCACGGACCTTTATTTATGCGTCTGATTTATATTTTGAATTTAACACAGAGCCTCGGTTATTTGACGAAGGTGAGGCTAACGGAGATTTATTTATGCTTGTGATTGACAGTGGGTTTATTTATGTTTGTGATTTACATTTTTAACTTAAGGCAGAACCTCAGTTATTTGACGAAGGTGAGATTTATTTACCGGTATGTTTGTGATTTGCATATCAGCTATAACTCTTGAGAAATGAAAAAAGCCTGTATTTTGTATTTAGTAAAAAGCTTTTTCTTAAGTCTTAATTTTTAGTATTATAAATTAGAGAGAGATACCGTATATTGGGGCGAAATTTGCACTTTTTAGGGAATCGTCTGTTAGTGTTAAAGGTCCTGTAAAATTGGCTCTTGTGATGTTTTAACCGTTATAATGCTGTTGCCTTGTCAAAAACAGACCTGCAGTTGTTTTTTGTTTCACTCACACATGTTTGAGTAACCCTGTATTATTAGGCTGTCTTCATCTCCAAAGATCAAAATGCTCAAGCTGTAGATTTTAAGTTTAGCTTTAACATTTAGTTCAGTAGAGATTGGAAAGTTCAGGGCTGAAATGATCTAAATCAGGGGTCTCCAACCTGTAACTCGGGAGCTACCAGTAGCTCTCCAACCTCTTCCAAGTATCGTATTTTCCGGGCTATTAGGTGCACTCTTAAGCCTCCAACCCCATCAAAATGTCTGATGTGTGATCTGTCGGCTTATTGTTTTATGTGTCCCATGTGAGCTGGGCACCAACTAAATGGTGCATGACACTAAATTAGTAAACTAAACTAAACTAAACTAAACTACCATATTATTTGGGTTATTAGACGCGCTCTTAAGCCTCCAACCTCAAAAAACAAATGCGCGCCCCACAATCCAGAGCGCCCTATACACGAATCCACTCAGGTGTCCCAGCACGACTTCAGTAAACTACAAAGCCGCACCACCCACAGAACACACAAACACACACGGAGCAGACAGCGACCGCACAGCGAAACACACCCACAGACACACTCATCACTCCACGCCGACAAGGAACGGAACGGAGGAACGAACCGAAAAAAGCGAGTGCAATGTGCCACTTCTAGACACGACTGAACAACTGAGTCACTGCGAACACACCGACAATCTGTTGGTCCCAGACACACACCCTCCCTACACGCCACAACTGAACAAAGCCCAGAGTCACCGTGAACGAACAAACAAACAAAACCACTCACCCATCACACTGTTGTGTTTCCTTTAAAGTCCGGTGCAGTTTATTTGTGAAAAAAATTCCAAAATAGACCATTTAACGACAGTGCGCCTTATAATCCAGAGCGCCTAATAGTGCAGAAAATACAGTAGCTCACCAAGGGATTTCTGAATATATGTATTGTGCTGAATAAGTAAAATTTGATTACTTAAATGCCTATTACATTGAACATTGACACCTAACTTTGTGCAGTAATAAATGGACACTGGTTTATGTTTTATAGGCACCTAACTGTACCCCAAAGCTCGCTCTCTTTCTCATAATCGTCTCAATTTCTTGTAACTGCTAAAACTAGTAGCTCTCTGGCATTTTCGTTTTGTGAAAGTGGCTCACTGGAGGAAAAAGGTTAGAGACCCCTGATCTAAATGATTCTAGTGAAGGTTTATGAAGTTTAATACATGACATCACAAGGTGGAATAGGCTCTATTCACGCTTACGTCACAAACCAGGAAGACGTTTAGAAACATGTGATGACAACTTCCGCCGGACTCTGTTCTGTGACTCTGAAAGTCTGACAAAATCTAGGAAAAATAAAAAAATATTCCAGTTTTCTTCATCTCCATGTCATTGTAGTGTTCCGTTCTGTTGGGCTAATCAACAATTCCAACCACACCTCAGTTTTCATCATTTCCCCACTGACACACAACTCCGAGTGCACTGGTACATGTGATTAGAAGATGGAGATGAGGCACCACATTCCAGATGATTCCAAACAGCGCATACGTCTGCAGTCTTCATTTTACCAACCATCACATTCACATTCATTCAAGTGTGAACAGAGCCTTTTGGGTGTTTGTTAGGGAGAAGAACTCAGCATAAATCTGCAGGGTTTGTGTGTTAAACATGTGTGAATGAAACAAAACACAAGTCTAGGGCTGTTTGCGATGAAAAAACTACATTATAACATAGACCAGAAAATAACATACTGTATTTTCTGCACTATTAGGCGCTCTGGATTATAAGGCGCACTGTCGTTAAATGGTCTATTTTTCGAATTTTTTTCACAAATAAACCGCACCGGACTTTAAAGGAAACACAACAGTGTGATGGGTGAGTGGTTTTGTTTGTTTGTGGCGTTCACGGTGACTCTGGGCTTTGTTCAGTTGTGGCGTGTAGGGAGGGTGCTGTCTGGGACCAACGGATTGTCGGCGTGTTCACAGTGACTCAGTTGTTCAGTTGTGTCTAGAAGTGGCACATTGCACTCACTTTTTCAGTTCGTTCCTCCGTTCCGTTCCTCGTCGGCGTGGAGTGATGAGTGTGTCTGTGGGTGTTTTTTTTGCTGCGCGGTCTCTGTCTGCTCCTCCGGGTGGTGCAGCTTTGTAGTTTACTGAAGTCGTGCTGGAACACCCGAGTGGATTCGTGTATAGGCCGCTCTGGATTGCGGCGCGCAGTTGTTTTTGAAGGGGTTGGAGGCTTTTAGCGCGCCCTATAGTGCAGAAAATATGGTAATATGGGCCCTTTAGATCTCCAGCAGAGGGGGATATTTTGTTTGACTGCCCAAAAAATAAGTATAAAGCTTTATTTGAGCATTTTTGTGTGAAGAATGCACTGCACAAAATGTGGCTTCACTGCTCTCTTAGTAAAACAAGGTTGTGGATTAGTTTATGCAAAATTTGGGGAAAATAATAAAAATTGGCCCAAAATAACATCTCTAAATAGCATCAGATTTTATCAGCCATCAGTCGCTCTGGATTCTAATCAGTATCAGCTACAGCCATGAAAAAAAACATATTGGTCGCTCTCTGTTTTCAATTAATATTAACATTTTTGTTTTAGTGGTGGGTGATACTGTCAAAAATGTATATCTCTATTTATTTTTTGACAGTTCTTCCAACAGCGATAATCATGTGCAGGCTTCAGAAATGTGCTAGACTGCCTTTAAATGTCTTTTTTGAGTTTCAGCTTACCAAAAAGAAGAAATGAAGTGTAAAATTAAACTTGTATTTGCATAAGTATCACTGGAGAGTCCTGTATGAGCGCACAGTGACGGCGTGTACACAGCGCTTTGACAATAAATGAAAACACTGTCTATTTTATTTATTTCGGGGACAGTGCATTTTAATTAACATGTCTGTAAATGTGCCAGAATTATCCAAAAAGGCAATTTCTCATCCGTAGCCCCCTGACAGATGCTAAAGGGCCCATGTGACACTATTTTCGGATGTTATAATGTTGTTCCCTTATTAAAAACACACCCGGAGTTGTGTTTTGTTTCATCACACGTTTCATTGACTTCATTTACCCTCCTGTGTGCCCAGGATAAAGGAGGACCATGTGATTCAGCACGGCCTGGTGGTGGACGGGGCCAGTTTGTCTCTGGCTCTGAGGGAACATGAGAAGCTCTTTATGGAAGTGTGTAAGAACTGCTCTGCTGTGCTGTGCTGCCGGATGGCCCCTCTGCAGAAGGCAAAGGTACTGCTCCTCTAGACTGTGTTTAAACTGTGTGGAGACTGTTAGACTGACAACTGTCTATCAAGGACCTATATTATGCAAAATTTATTCTTGTAAGCTTTAAGACATGTTATAATGTTGCTACATCCTCATAAACATATCTGGAGTTGTTTAGTTTCATTCATACCGTATTTTCTGCACTATAGGGCGCTCTGGATTATAAGGCGCTTATTGAATGGTCTATTTTTGAACTTTTTTCACATATCAATCAGTCAAACTTTATTTGTATAGCACTTTTCATACATTTGAAATGTAGCACAATTTGCTTCACATGCAACAGAAAAATTACAAGACAATAATTAAAAAACAACCCCTCCACCACCCCCTCCATATATACAACAATTTAAACATAAACATAAAGCTCTTAAAAGTTATAGTAAAAATGAAACTGGAGAGCTAAGATCAGATGGAGACTAAATAAAATAGTAATGATAATTTTATTTAAAACAACCATAATAATAACAATAATAATGATAGTTTAAGTTAAAACAGGTAAAAGTTTCAATTAAAAGCTAAATTAAAAAGATATGTTTTGAGTTTACTTTTAAAAATATGAACACTCGCAGCGGACCTCAGATCCTCAGGTCGACTGTTCCACAAACGGGGGCCATAAAAGCTGAATGACGCTTCACCATGAGTTTTAGTTTGAACTCTTGGGACAGTTAAAAGAAGACTTCCTGAGGACCTGAGAGTTCGAGAGGCTCATATGATCAAATCAGATCAGATAAATAAATAGAACTAAGACCATTAAGAGCTTTAGAAACCAATAAAAGAACTTTAAAATCTATCCTGAAGTTCACAGGAAGCCAGTGCAGAGACTTCAGTACTGGGCTGATGTGCTCTCTCTTCCTGGTCCTCGACAGCTCCGTGCTGCAGAGTTTTGGAGGAGCTGTAGTGGAGCTGTAGTTTTCTTTGGAAGACCAGAAAGTAGAGCTTTACAGTAATCAACACGATTTGTAATAAAAGCATGTATTAAAGTCTCTGCACTGGCTTGAGAGAGAAATGGTCTGAATCTGGCAATATTTTTTAGATGATAAAAACCAGATTTAGTGATGGACCTGATGTGTGGCTCAAAGCTAAGCTCACCATCAGGAGTAACTCCTAAACTCTTGACCCTCTCACAGGGTTCAGTGAGTAGGTTTGGAGCTTAGCTTTGAGCCTCTCTCTACGAGCTTCAGGACCAATAATTAACACCTCGGTTTTGCCCTGGTTGAGCTGGAGGAAGTTTGCTGCCATCCAGGACTTAATATCTAAAATGCAGTTAAAAAGGGTATCGATCAGACTTAGATCATCAGGAGACACAGCGATATAGAGTTGGGTATTATCAGTGTAGCTATGAAAGTTAACACCGTGTCTCCTGATGACCTGTCTTAGTGGCAGCATGTAGAGATTAAAAAGGGTTGGACCTAAAATTGAGATTTGGGGAACACCACACTCCATTTTACATTTTGCGGAGGACTGTTCCCCAAGACAAACATAAAAATCCCTGTTTGTTAAAAACTATTTGAACTAGTTAAAAACAGACTCAGAGAGACCAACTGTATAATGCATACATATAAACTGCACCGGACTATAAGGCGCATTAAACGAAACACAACAGTTAGATAAGTCAGTCAAATCTTATTGAATGCGTTCACAATAACTCTCAGCTTTGTTTAATTGTAACGTGTAAAAAAAAAAAAAACTTGTCTGAGACGCTAAATTGTTCGTGTATTCACAATAACTCAATTGTTCAAACAGTTGGGTAATTCCGGCGTCCAGCACGTCCACATCCCTCTCATCATTATCTGAGTCAGTGTGGTTACTGTTCCCTGGCCGTTCAGTGATGATTCTGGTCTTGGTGAAAGCTCGGACCACAGTTGATACTGATCCTTAGTCCAGGCGTCCACGATCCGTTGGCAGATCGTGGCGTAAGTCACTCGGCGCTGTCTCTCTGTCTTGGTGATTGTGTGTTCGTCTTCTCTCATCCACTGCTCCCACGCAGCTCACACTTTCACTTTATAATAGTCTTGAGTTTAAAGTGGGTGTTGTCATTGTGTCTCTTGACAGGTGCATTATATTATAAGACGCTCAGTCGTTTTTTGATGAAATTAAAGGCTTTTAAGCGTGCCCTGTAGTGCGGAAAATACGGTACATTTGAGAAATCCGTTATTTTTATACTGTCTGCATCTCCAAAACTGAAAATGCTCTGTTCCATCTTGTGATCTGACCTTGTGAACAGCTCCTTTTATTGTTTTTTTCAGTAGAGATTGGCAATTCGAGGCCTGAAATCATCCAAATAATTCTAGTGAAGGTGCATGGAGTCTAAAAACACACACAGTTTGAGAGGAGAACTCTGTTAAACGTGTGAATGAAACAAAGCACAACTCCAGGATTTTCAGTTTGATTTGAGTTTATCGCACTGAAAAACAAGCATCCTTACTGTTAAGCGTATACTTCATATTCTTGAAGTGTTAATGCATTCTTGTGTTGACTTCCAGGTGGTGCGTCTCATAAAAACGTCCCCAGAGAAACCCATCACTTTGGCTGTAGGTGACGGAGCTAATGATGTCAGTATGATACAAGAGGCCCACGTAGGCATCGGTGAGTCCTCTCTCTCTGCTCTTCTGTGTATCAAAATAATATATTATAAAAATACCTGACAGATATTGTGGTAACAGTTGAGTTCAGTTTAAGTTCATATTATGTTTGTTACAACTTAGACTACTGGCTTAGCAAAGTTATCTATAACAGGAATAGGGCTGAATGACAAGCTTTGTGATTGGATTTGCAATTTATGTTTTAATAATAGGATGCTGTTGTAAAGGTGCATTGTGTGACTTTGTGGTTGGGGGTCTGTCACCTGATTGTTTCTATGGAGATGTCATTGATCTGCCTGGAATGTTCCACAGTGTGACATTAAACAGATCTACCATGATGATGAATAATGCATGAATGTTTATTCAGACAGTAATGCAGAGAACATGCATAGAAAACCGTATTTTTCAAACTATAAGTCGCTCCAGAGTATAAGTGGCACCAGCCAAAAAATACGTAATGAAGAAGAAAAAACATATATAAGTCGCAATTTTTGGGGGAAATTTATTTTATAAAATCAGAGACCAGGAACTGACATTTCCTGTTGAAAGTCAAGTTCTAGTAATAACACTAGAAGAGAGAACAACAGACTGTTAACGTCACATATGAACAGTTCTTCAGATAAACTATAACATAAACAACAGAACAGAACAAGTTTATCAAACTCTCCATCTCACTCCAAATCACTAAATCCATTCAATTCTTCATCCTCTGTGTCACTTCTGAGCAACTCGACCTCGACCTCCGGAGGTAAAGGGAGCACCACTTCCTCTTCTGTGTCGCTGTCGTCAGACTCAGCATCAGTTCCAGTTAGAATTATTCGGGTCTTTCTGAATCCCGACAGGATGGTTTCAGTGTCACTGAAGTCCAGACTTTGTCCGTCATCCGGTGACTTCAGGAAAGTTTCATGGTGCATCCTCCCGGTGTCACAAGTTTCTCGCTCACTCCAAACTTTCTTTCTGCTGCTCGATTACTTGCAGCAGGACACATGCAGGAGACATGTGCAGTAGAGTGAAGTGACAGTGGTACAGGAGGAACAGGAGCAGCAGATACTCACACACAAGACTAGAGCCTCTCGTGGCAGAGTAGAAGTTGTAGGAAACACCCAAATCATGAAAAAAAGTGCAACCTAATAAAATATAGTTATTCTTTTCTATAACAATAAACAAAAGTAAATGTCACACAGATTTTACTTGTGTTTGAAAAGGATTGGTAAGAAGTAAATACTTATTTAACCCCAGCCCTTTTCTACTGACCCAAACTAACAAAGAACATATAGACTCTTCATTTCCCATACATTAAAAGCTCTAATTACACATTACACACGATACATGTATTCAATTACAGGTGGTTTTATACCTCAGAAATAACTAGAAAAACTCTTGATTAGGGTTGCCACTTCACAGATCTGACCTGTAACTTTGACTGATTTGGTCTCTATGAAGATAAAAGGTTTAATGCCATACTGTGAAACATTCCAGACAAAGCAAGAGCATCTCCGGGGAGAAAAGCTGTTGATGGACCCTCCACCACCTTAAAGTTCACATTTTAAACAGAAGAACTGACAAAAAGACTCAAATTTAAACCGACAAACTGATCAGACGAAAGAATCACATTTCAGAATGTGTTTGTATGGTACTTCAAAAAGTTGCTGCCATTGTGATTTGACCAGTGCCTCCATTCAAATTGCGTTTTTGATTCAGTTTGCAGTTAATCTTGCAGATCTCATCGGAACCAATTAAAGACATTTAATTAATCCTGCTTTATACAGCTTTCACAGTGTTTCCATTCAGCATTTCCTGTTAAACGTGTCTATCTCTGTATCTGTATTTTTGTATTCTCTATTTTAAGTGAAAATAAATAAAGGTATATTATTATCAAACATTATTTATGGCAAGGAGAAAATTCACTTTGTCGACCGGACAAAAGTTAGTTTGGTTGAAGACATTTCGCAGTTCATCCAAATGGCTTCTTCAGTTCTGGTCAGACGCTGGTGGACACTTCCTTATATCTACAGGGAGGAGCTAACTACACTGAAACTAAGGCTACGTTCAGACTGCAGCCTGAAGTGACCCAAATCTGATTTTCTGGCCTCTATGTGACCTGTATCTGATCTTTTAATGACAGTCTGAACGACACAGATCTGATTTTTTCAAATGTGACCCAGGACACTTGGATATGTGCTCCTGAAACCGATACATATTCAATCTTTTGACATGCGACTTCAGTCTGAACGGCCAAAGCACATTCATCCACCTACACGTTATCAACAAGACACAAACGTCACTATTCTGCGCTGAAGTAGGTGAAAATTGTTAATGAACTCTGTGTCACTGAAGTGAAGCACATCACCACTCACCACAGCCAAAAACCTCGTCCTTCTCCTTCTCAATCTCCTCCTTAAAACAAGTCAGTTGTTCATGTTCTGGCTCCGGTACGAGAGGAACTTTAAAATCTCCAGGTGCTCAATGCTGCGTCCATGTTTGGACAACTTCTGTAAACACAGAGACGCTCACTGCGGGTGACGTCGTCGTGTCTCCAGTGTCACATGTGGGACACTTTCGGGCCGTTTAATGTTCACACTGGAGTCACATACAAGCCTCATTTAAATGGAAATGTGAACGACCTCGCAAAAACATGGGATTTCACACAAAAAATCTGAATTGAGCGTTAAGCCCTGCAGTCTGAACGGTAGTCTAACACATCTACTTGTTTACAGTTTGTGTTTGTTAGTTGGGCCTATTGACCTGTACAGGGTGTGGGGTCTAATTAACAGAACAATTCAGGGTTATAATGGAGCTTCCACACCTCTGGACCTGACCTGGATACACCTGTTGTTCTCTTGTTTGATTTGATTTAAGTTTGAGGATGGAGTTGTAAATAGGAGATACATGGTGTCTGAGGCCTCCATTTCTGTTTAGAGAAGGATTATCTTTCTTAACAAAAATGGCTTCTTTCACTCCCCTCTCAAACCAATTATTTTCTCTGGCTAAAATCTGTACCTCACTGTCCTCAAATGAGTGACCCGTGGCTTTTAACTGGAGATGCACAGCAGACTGAGGTCCACTGCTGCTCTCTCATCTGTGTTGGTACATCCTCTTGTGAAGTAGCTGTTTAGTTTCTCCAATGTAGCGTTATTTAAATGTAACTATTATTTAACTAAAATTGATTGCACTTCTCACTATTTGAAAACCATGATATTACAGTTCAAATGTATTAGTCATTTGTCATTCAGACCTATTAATATCCCGTTCTGTTCAATCTTCCACTGCATTGAATGTGTTGAAATGCGTCTCTGTGCAGGTATTATGGGTAAAGAGGGGAGGCAGGCCGTGAGAAACAGTGACTATGCAATCGCCAGGTTTAAGTTCCTGGCCAAACTTCTGCTGGTGCACGGACACTTCTACTACATTCGGATAGCAACTCTTGTACAGTACTTTTTCTACAAGGTAAGAACGCGTCTGTCTCTCTCGTATTAAAACAGGACAATAGTTTAAAGGTCCCATGTTACTCTATTTTCTGATCTATGTTCTAATGTTGTTTTCGCATCACAATCAGACCTTAAGTTGTGTTTTGTTTCATTCACACGTTTAACACACAAACTCTGCAGATTTAGGCTGACTTTGTCTCTCAAGCAAAAAAAAACATGCTGTTCCACCTCGTGATGTCATGTGGTAAGACAGGAAGTGCTCCACTGTGTTTTTAAACTCCATACACCTTCACTAGAATCATTTGGTTAATTGCCAATTTCGACTGATCAAAAGGTACAAGGGAGCTGTTCACTTGGAAACTACCGCTTCATGACATCACAAGGTGGAGCAAAGTATTTTGAGCTGTGATAGACATTTATATTCTGAAAAGATTTCTCTCAATCTTTATACTAACAATACTATATACTACTTTAAACTCTGTGTTGTCAAATGTAAGTTAGTTGATTAGCACAAATATGTGAAACAGACACTCTGATTTGATATGTATGTAACTTGTATTTTTGTATAAACACTCAGAGCTCAGATGCTTTGGGGGATGCTTGGGGAGAGGATGCTTGGGGGGGATACTCAGGAGATGGAGAGAAGGGGTGACTGGAGACAGGATAGTGAGAAGAGGTGGTTGGTCTATGGCCAGCGCAGGCCTAAGAAGAATAAACCTTTATCTGTATTCCAAAAACTCATCGGGCTTCACAAATGGATTAATTATTTATCATCAAGGGATGCATCATTGTTTCCACAACAGAGCTTTGGAGATGTCAACTCATAATGAAGGTTTACACATGTAAATGCAACAAAACACAACTCCAGGTCTGTTTGTGATTCAGTAACAGCATTATAACATGGCTTGGAGCTCACAAGAATGAATTTAGTTTAATGTAGGGCCTTTAACATTTGTAGAAAATGTAGGTTATTGGTCCATTTACAATATACAACAATAATATTATAATGAAGCAGTAAAAATGAAGATCAGATTTAATGTTGTTTCTCTGTGTCTTTTGTAGAATGTGTGTTTTATCACTCCCCAGTTTTTATACCAGTTCTTCTGTCTGTTTTCACAACAAGTAAGTGTCATTTCTATGTCTCTTTACATGTCACTGTGGAAAACTGCACTGCTTTCTGAACCCTATGGCTTTATTCTTCCATATAGTTTGTACAAATCAGGGGCTTAGAATTTACAGTGAAATTATGGGCTGAAAATGTATTAGTAAGAAACCTTATTATGCCCACTGGAGTATTACAGACATACACACTATATATAACATATCTCTTAAACATGAATATTTAATGAGCCTGGACTGCATTAAACACTGCATTGCGCTGCATAAGAAAACTCTGTACAGGTCAGAGGGGGACAGGTCTGAATTCTATGGTGGAATTTGAAATGCCACGTGTGTTGTATATATGTATAATCTTGAGTATAAACTGTTGTCTCCCTGTGTCTCAGACCCTGTACGACAGCGTGTACCTGACGCTCTATAACATCTGCTTCACGTCTCTGCCCATCCTGGTCTACAGCCTGTTTGAGCAGCCTGTGCACCCCCATGTGCTGCAGAGCAAACCAGCCCTGTACAGGTGAGTCCCAAACCACAAACCACAAACCAGCCCTGTACAGGTGAGTCCCAAACCACAAACCACAAACCCGCCCTGTACAGGTGAATAAGGCAGAGTTACAGTGCGGGATAAACCGGTGTATTTAAAATCACCTGCGCCAAAGACTCAGTCACCCTAAAGCAGGGGTCTCTAAACTTTTTTCTTCGGAGAGCTACCTGTACAAAAAGAAAATACCAGAGAGATATTAATCATAAGAAATTGAGCATATATAAGAGCCACAGCGAGAGTTAGATGAGGTACAGTTTGATGCCTATAAAACATAAACCATTTTCCATTTATTAGTGCACAAAATTAGCCATAAAAATGCTACATGTACAATGGTAAAGGACATTTAATGAGTCAGATTTGACTTATTCAGCACCATATGTGTGATTCAGAAATCCCTTGGCGAGCTACTTCTACCAGTAGCTCCCGAGCTACAGGTTGGAGACCCCTGCACTAAAGCGTGACATGGACTGCAATAACTGGATAAATAAACATTAACTGTTTTAAAAGTTTCATGGAAAGTAACACTTGTTGCGACTTGTCATGATAATTACTATATTGACTCATTATATGTACATTTTCTTAGGGATACACCAATCCAGATTCTTCGGTTCTGATACCGATATTGGTACTTTGACTTTAACTATATCTGTTGATACCTGATATGAACTGATACCAGTGCAGGGACTGAAAATGACACTTATGTCCTTAAAACAGAGTCACCTTGTTACACATGAGATCCAATAGGGTTCTGTATCTGTTTATCAAACCACTACTGAAGAATTCAAACATTTTAAGCCATTCCAGGCTAAAATCATCATCTTATTACATCCAAATAACGGCCCAACCAGGATATTGTCTGAGCTAGGGATGGGCATTCGATGAAATTTTCTTAATCGATCGTCGGAAGAATTAACGATCGATTATTGATTAATCATTAAGGTTTTTATATTAAAATGATCATCATTATTATTACTATCTGCACTACTAATCTGCATAAATAAATTCAACTTTACGACATATAAACCGTAACCACTCTAGAGCCACATCAGTCCGTTTGACATTATAATGTGTTTAATTCAGTTTTGTGCAACTCTCACAGAAACAAAACTTAAAACCACATCACTAATTTGCATAAACTAAGCGAAGATAAAACTCCAGCTCTTGTGTCGCTGATGCGGTTAATTTCTGTTGGATTAAAAGACGTGACTCAGTGGAATACAGGTTAGTGTGACCAGATTTGTGTTTGTCAAAACCAGGACACCGTACGGGGGGAGGGGGGCGGGGCCTCGTCATCCACATTGAGCGACTCTCACCTGGTAAAACTTTTTCCCACTGGACACCGAAACATATGTTCCTGCTTTATACACTGTGCACATGGACTCACACTTGTCCCGAACGCAACGGAAAGCGTGGAATTTCTTGTACAAGTCATCGTTAAATCCACATTTGTGCTTCGGTACGTTACAGACTGACCCACTGTTTGTGTCTCGCTCCTTCTGATGCAGAGACACATGTACAGACCCTGTTTGGTCACGCTACACACAGCAACCTACATTCAGTTTGTCGATTAAAATTAACGCAATCGATGAAATTCTTAATGATCAATTATCGATTAATCGATTAGTCATGCCCATCCCTAGTCTGAACTGATATCATAGAACCAATACCCAATCCAGCAAATTTTTCAGTATCCGCATTATCAGTATTGGTGCATACCTACATTTTCATTGTAAAAATGGGGAGATTGGGGGTATTTTTGTTGCAATAAAATAAGATTTGAGCTGTAAAATGTTAAATAACTGACTTCTATGGCTAATAACAGGTTAGGAAAGTTCCATAATGCCTCTTTAAAACTCCCTCTCTCCTCTTTGTGTTCCTCTCACAGGGACATCAGCAGAAACTCCATGCTGTCGTTCCAGACCTTCCTGTACTGGACTGTGCTGGGCTTCTGTCACGCCTTTGTGTTTTTCTTTGGCTCCTACATCCTGATGGGAGAAGACACCAGCCTCATGGGGAACGGACAGGTACACGCTCACATACTTTTATACTACAGGTGTATGGTGTAAATGTACCCTTCACATTTATAAGTGAGATGTTTCAGTTTGTAGTTTTCTGCAGTTTTAGATCCTAATATATATTTTGATTTGATAGAGATATTAAGTTACTCTGAAACTATTGATTCTTCGGTGCCACTGTTCACATCACATTTACATAAACAGATGAGTTTTAATTCCCAAAGGACTAAAATCACAGTGGGTCCAGTTCAGTATTTATCAGGGTTTGGCAGGACTTAGAAGTACAGAGCTGCTCTTTACTGACTCGGCACAATTAACCATTTTTGGCCCAACTGTTGACATTAAAATCAATTGAAATCTGAGGAAGACTGCAGTCTGATTAATCTGCATGATGACTTTTTTCCAACACGCCTAACCCAGACAGAAATGAATGTGTCTATAGTATAAAATTATAAGTAAAGAACAAGATAAATAAATAAAAATAAATAAATAACCATTACAAATAGAATTAAAGGGTTATATTACACTAGTTTCTGATCTGTTATCATGTTATTTTCTCATTAAAAATATACCCAGAGTTGTGTTTTGTTTCAGTCACGCATGTTTAACACACAAACCCTCCATATTTAGGCTGTGTGCTCCACTGTGTTTTTAAACTTCATACACCTTCACTAGAATCATTTGCGTAATTGCAGGATTTAATCAAATTAAAGGTAAGAAGTGGATGTTATTTTGAAGCTTCATGACATCACAAGGTGGACCAGAGCATTTCGAGCTTGGGAGTTGTAGACAGACTAATAATAAAGAGTTAATCCAACGTGTGAATGAAACAAAACACAACTCCAGCTCTGTTTTGGATGAGGAAACCAGGACACAATCCAACACGAAAATAATTTATTTACAGACAAAATAGCAAAATAAAAACCCATGTAGAGCGGGTTAATACGAACGTTTTAAGGCCAAAATGACTAGACTGTAAAGTCAGTTGGAGCCAGTGTCGATGGAGCCAGAAGCGCCCCCATGCTCACTTTTATTTGGAACGCAGCAGCTCGTGGGATAACTATGTCCATTTACAGCAGGGGTCTCCAACCTGTAGCTCGGGAGCTACCAGTAACTCTACCCCCTTCCAAGTAGCTCACCAAGGGATTTTGGAATTACACCATTGTGCGGAATGACATTTTGTGTGTGTGTATGTGTGTATAAAGCAGATGAGAAAAACAATTAGTAGTAGTAATATAATGTGACCATTTCCTATTCCCCCTATAATAATAATAATAATAATATAATAATAATAATAATAATAATAATAATAATAATAATGATAATGATAATGATAATGATAATGATAATGATGATGATGATGATGATGATGAAGTTGATAAAGTTAATAAAATAAATACATAAATATAGGGAAAAAGGGAAATACTTTTTACATGAACAAAAAATAAATAAATAAATTATAGCAAAAATTTGGTTCATTACATGCTAATTATAGAGATGTAACGACATCCAAATCTCTTGGTATATAAATAACTGCATAATCACGGGTATGTAGTTTCTTCTGTTCATAAGCTGTTGCTACTGTAAAATCATGTAATTAAGCCAGGGATATCCAAACTACGGCCCGTGGGCCAAATGCAGCCCTCGGACAAATTTTTCTTGACCCTCAGACTTCCAGGTGATTTGGCCCAAATGACCTTGCATCAATTAAAAATGAACTTTTCACTGCAAGTTTTTTGAAAATCTACTCTGATAAAGCCAATATTGAAGTTTTAGTGTGTGGTTTGAGGATTTTAGAGTGAATAACGACTGATGGCTCATTCTAAAGTGTTAAACATGCACATATTTCAATTATTCACTGTATTGAGCACCAGTCTTCTGCCCTCGATCAGTCCTCTGCTTCATCTGTGTTTAGAAATGTGGCCCTTGATGAAAAAAGTTTGGGCACCCCTGATTTAAGCAAAGAAACTTGTAATCCGATATATTGTGAAACTTTTGACAATACGACATCACGATATTTTGGTTATTGTTACATCCCAAGCTGATTATTGTAAATGTATAACTCTGAAGCCTAACATTGTTTTTAGTGCACATTGGACTCTGGTTTATGCTTTAGAGACGTCTGACTACCCAAAGGCTCGCCCTCTTTCTTACAATCGTCTCCATTTTTTGTGGCCACTAAAATGAGCAGCTCTCTGGCATTTTTGTTTTGTAAAAGTAGCTCACTGGAGGAAAAAGGTTGGAGACCCCTGATTTACAGTCTATGGGTCCCACAGGAGTCACAGCTGGACCTGTACAGTCTTAGAGAGGCTTTAGAAATGAGTGAATCTTGATTTTTATTCATTATATTTTTATGAATTACTCATCTTTGTGCTTATCCTTCCACTGCTTTTCTTCTATTTCTGTGTCACATTTAAAACCCGTTACTCTCTCTCTCTCTTTTCCTCCTGCTGTGTGCCTAACTAGTTTTAACATGTAACTCTTATTAACCTTTACAAATGCCGTGTTCTGTGTGTTTCTGATCTATTTTCTATCTCCTCTGCTCCTCTGCTGCTTCCTCTCCCGCTGTGCATGACTTCAGATCTTGCGTGCAAACAGACAGCTGGTAAGAGGGCTCAGTCCGCTGCATGTGCCTGTGGGGGGCTAATGAGAGACATGTTATACGCAGCTCTACATGTTTGGTTAAGCGCCGCCGCCTTCTCTGTGTGTTTTTAAAGTGGGACTAAACACCTAAACTCCATCACAACCGCTTCTCAAACAGAGGGATTAAACTGGGCAGGACCTGGAGGACTACAGGGAGAGGGAGGGCGGAGGAGGAGGGAGGGAGGGGGGTCTGGAGGTGTAAGGAGCAGTGTGATTGGTCTAACAGGTATTCATACTTCAGACTCCACCCCTGCAGCCAGGTGTTTGTATCAGAAACCCCTGGCTGTAATCAGGGCAGTACTGCGTGATGTCACATAGTACTTGAGATAGCGATAGCCACTGGAGGCAACACATACTCATTTTTATTTTTATTTAGATTTTGATTTTTTTAACCAGAAAGCTGCACTAAATTTGCGCAGAAGGGACTTGGAACAGTAGACAATAGAGTGTGGATGGGGATGAATGTTTTTGTCTGAGCCCGGCCCGTGTCCAACAGAGAAGTGATCAAATCCGACCCGAGCCTGAGAGGCATAAAGGTATTTGTGTTCGAACCCGGCCGAACACGACACAGTTAAAATCACACTATTTTCACAGGTCTTATGACGCACGTAGGATGTTGTTTGTGTGGCCTCTAACGGACACAGAGACGCAAAATACAAACTCAGGAAAAATAAACAGAAGACTTTATTCCTCACTTCTCTTAAGTGTTACATTTAAAGTGCAACATCACATCCACATTATCCATAGACACTGTCCTCTGTAAATACTGACCCCAGTCCACAAAACTGCACTATTAACCCAATTTGAAGTGTTCTATAGAGGTAAAAAGGCAAGAGTAGTTCCTCGTGTGTGTCTGTTTACAGCAGGTTAGCGATAATGATAGTGATAGTGACTTCCTGTGTACTTTATCATCAGTCTTTTATGCTTTACAAATTCTGTATCTGAAGTTTTGCACCACATTTCACAATTTATAATAACACAGTTTTGACTTGTATCTAAACTAGAAGTGCAGATCTTTTGAACACTTAAGAGTCTCAGAGCGAGTGGATTTACTGTAGACAGGAAACAGCCTGGACAAAACTTCTAAATATTTGTCAGAACCCGTTGGACTTCATGGTCCGGTGTCCAGCAGACCTGTTTCCATGCTCTAGTAGGCAACATTATTTAACCCTAGAGTTTAGTACCAAAAAAGTTGATTTACTGTTTAGTTCCATTTTAAGAAAATTTGAACTGCTTCAACCAGGCTGCACAATGTGAAAAAAAAATGCAGTTAGATTTGTGATACAAATGAATTTAGTTTCAATTGCAGTTAAATGTGCCCTGATTTGTGACATAATTTCTTCTGCTGAAAGTTAGTGTTGAGAGATCCTTCATTTTCTGCTTTGTGTGTGGCTTTCAGGTTATAGAATTTGATGACCTTAGAGGTCTGTGCAGACAGTAGCGCTCTTGCCTGTGTACATTATAACATGCATTTTATATTTAAGTTTTTACTCTTACTTTTATATAATTACTAGTGATGGGCAAATGAGACGGAGCTCTGGAGCTCGTCTCGTTCTTTCTGAAACAAATTACTCTGAAGCTCTGCCTCGGAGCTCGTCTCACAGCAGCCGCTCACGTGACCAAAGTGTGGAAGTGTGGGTCCCTCCCCCGACTGCTTCAGTCTGTGTGTCAGTCGCTTCAGTGTATCGAAGCGTCTCATTGGCTCAGTGAATGTTCCGCTCTGTGATTGGTTCAGAGTGTTCAGAGTGTTCAGTGCACTTCCGTGGTTTGACAAGTGCTAAACTGCTACAGTATAAAAGATGCACCAATATTTCTTAAAAATGTTGGTAGTGAGGAGTATTGTGTGACGTTAGTGGTGATTTTGGCGACTTTTGGCATTTGTTTCATTTTCAATGGCATCTACAAGTGGAAAAAAGCGATCCATGGTTTGGGATCACTTTGATCTAATTCCACCTAACAAGATCACCTATTTTCTTATTTACAGCTGCTATTTATGTTGCTCTTGACATATAATTTTAAATCATCATTATTATTGTTGTTGTTGGTACGGTGTCGCTCTGCACACAAGTATTGTCTTACACTAACAATATTTCATCGATGCTGAGACACCTGCGTGCCAATGGTTAAATTTGTCCACTAGAGGTCAGTGTTTCTCCGAGGCCTCAGACACGTCCAACCATTTGAGACAATATTGCGACTGAGGTGTCAATGCTTCACGAGGCTCCACTCGCCCATCACTAGTAATTACTTACTATGAACCAGAGATTATGTGTTCCTCATAAAGATTGAATTGAACTGAATTGATGATTGGTCCTAGTCCAGATCAGGGGCTGGTTTTCTTAGTTGATTACATTAAATTGTCCAAAATGAAAATTCACAAATGTTCAACTTCAGCCTGTACTCCAACCCATACTGAACCCCTCCTTTTTACCCAAATCTCAGCCTCTTTAAGATGCACTATATAACTTTTTAATTGGGTGATACAGCACCTGCTTGTTTCCTCTGAGATATTACAGCTTTGTCTGGAACGTTCCACAGTTCGACATTAAACTTGCATTTATTCAAGTACAGGTGTTTTTGGTGCCTTAAATAACTTTATAAACATACATTTTATGCAAACAGAGTCGGCAAGTTGAGAAAAGCGCTAATGAGCTTATCACGGTGAATAATTAAGATGCTGAGAATGCATACAGAATGTGTGGATTACGTTTTTCACATTTTTAAGATAGTAAAAATCAGGTACAGCGCCTTTAAAGGTGGAGGTACTTTTCTCCATGGAGTTATTGCTTTGTCTGGAATGTTTCACAGTATGGCATTAAACGTTTCTATTCTTGGAAACAAACCAGACCAAGTTACAGGTCAGATCTGTGGAGAGGCGACCCCGCTCACAGCCAGAATGTCTGTTTTTCAAGGTATTTTTGAGCTATGAAAACACCTGTAATTAAATAAAGGTAAGTTAGGCTGTATTCAGACTGCAGCCTGAAGTGACCCAAATCCGATTTTTTGGCCCCTGTGTGACCTGTATCTGATCTTTTAATGACAGTCTGAACGACACAGATCCATTTTTTTCAAATGTGACCCAGGACACTTGGATATGTGCTCCTGAAACCGATACATATCTGATCTTTTGACATGTGACTTCAGTCTGAACGGCCAAAGTACATTCATCCACCTAGACGTTATCAACAAGACACAAACGTCACTATTCTGCGCTGAAGTAGGCGAAAATTGTTAATGAACTCCATGTTACTGAAGTGAAGCACATCTCCACTCACCACTCTTGGCTACATCTCCACATCCACACGTTCCTTTCAACAAACTGTCCCACAAAACGCCACGACCAAAAACCTCGTCCTTCTCCTTCTCAATCTCCTCCTTAAAACAAGTAAGTTGTTCATGTTCTGGCTCCGGTACGAGAGGAACTTTAAAATCTCCAGATGCTCAATGCTGCGTCCATGTTTGGACAACTTCCGTAAACACAGAGACGCTCGCTGCGGTTCCACGGTCTCCAGTGTCACATGTGGGACACTTTCGGGCCGTTTAATGTTCACACTGGAGTCACATACAAGTCACATTTAACTGGAAATGTGAACGACCTCACAAAAACATCAGATTTCACCAAAAAATCTGAATTGAGCATTAAGCCCTGCAGTCTGAACTAGGGATGGGCATGATTAGTCGATTAATCGATAATTGATCATTAAGAATTTCATCGATTACGTTAATTTTAATCGACAAACCGAATGTAGGTTGTTGTGTGTAGTGTGATCAAACAGGTGTGTACATGTGTCTCTGCATCAGAAGGAGCGAGACACAAACAGTGGGTCAGTCTGCAACGTACCGAAGCACAAATGTGGATTTAACAATGATTTGTACAAGAAATTCCACGTTTTCCGTTGCGTTCGGGACAAGTGTGAGTCCATGTGCACAGTGTATAAAGCAGCACAGATGTTTCAGTGTCCAGTGGGAAAAAGTTTTACCAGGTGAGAGTCGCTCAATGTCGATGACGAGTCCCCACCTCCCTCCCCCCGTACGGTGTCCTGGTTTTGACAAACACAAATCTGGTCACACTGACCTGTATTCACCTGAGTCACGTCTTTTAATCCAACAGAAATTGAACCACATCAGCGACACAAGAGCTGTAGTTTTATTTTCACTTAGTTTATGCAAATTAGCCATGTGGTTGTAAGTTTTGTTTCTGTGAGAGTTGCACAAAACTGAATTAAACACATTATAATGTCAAACGGGCTGATGTGGCTCTAGAGTCGTTACGGTTTATATGTCGTAAAGTTGAATTTATTTATGCAGATTAGTGGAGATAGTAATAATAATGATGATCATTTTAATATAAAAACATTCATGATTAATCGATAATCGATCGTTAATTCTTCCGACGATCAGTTAAGAAAATTTCATCGAATGCCCATCCCTCGTCTGAACTTAACCTTAGAGCTTTTTAATGTCACTCTGTGGAACATTCCAAGCAAACCAATGACGTATCCATGGAAACAAGCAGGCGACGGACCCCCAACCAAAGAGTTACACGGCGCAGCCTTAAGCACAGGACAGAAATAAGCGTTGGCCTCTGTCGTTCTGAAAGCGTCTCTATTGTCACAGTAGAGTTTTCACAGCTCAGGTTTCCAGCAGTGAGGGGAATTGTGTGTGAACAAAACGGCGCCCCCTGCTGTTGCGCACTATACCACAAGCTGTTCTGACAGAATCGAGCAGAGACCCACGACTCGTTCTGATGCAGGAGAAAACCCAGACTGAAGCCTTTGTGTGTCCATATAAGGCGACTTTCACCTGAATTATGAAAGTTTTGCAGTGTTTTCTTTTTTTCTGAATGATTAAAAGATTTATGACTATTTGAAATTCACTGAAGAGCCATACATTTTGAATTAGACTTTATTATTTGTTCGAGATGGCGTCATCAAACTTGTCAATTTCATTTATGGCCTTAAAGAGCCCATATTACACAGTGACGCAAGGTATTTTCAGCAATAAAAATGTAATTAAAGAGTCAGATAGATACGTTTAGTGCCATACTGTAGAACTTTCCAGACACAGCAATAGCATCTCCATGGTAACAAGCAGAAAACGTACAGTAACGCAAAGTAATTATGCTATTTTCTGATGTTATAATGTTTCCTCATCACAAACAGACCTGAAGTTGTGTTTTGTTTCATACACACTTGTTTAACACACAAATCCTGCAGATTTAGGCTGAGTTCTTCTCCCAGACTGAAAACACCCTGTTCCACCTTGTGATGTCATGTGGTAATACAGGAAGTGCACCACTATTTTTTAAATCCATACACCTTCACTAAAAACATTTGGATAATTTCAGATCTGGAATTGCCAATCTCTACTGAACTAAAAGTAAACTGTAGCTGTTAACTTCAAAACTACCACTAAATGACATCACAAGTTAGAACAGAGCATTTTGTGATTTGGGGATGTAGACAGACTAATAATAAAGAGTTATTCAAACATGTGAGAATGAAACGAAACACAACTCCAGGTCTGTTTTTGTGGAAGAAAGAACATTATAACATGTCTTAAAGCTCAAAACAATCCATTTCATGTACTATTATTAATGCCACAATTTGTTCAGGCTATTCATCTCCTTACTTAATTTGTACTGACAGTTCTTGTTTCATGTGGATAGGCCCAGAAATGAGAGATATTAACCATAAACCACATCAACAAATCTGCAGTCTGACAGTTAAAAGGCAAAGTGAACATAACATTTTGACTTGTCCTCCAGCTTCATTTAAACTATGGGCAGATTCAAATGTTTTGACGTCACATGAACATAACTTATTATGGAATGATGATTTCAAGCAATTGTTTCTTGCAAAAACTGAATTCATTCTTACTTTGATTTCTGACTTCATAATGTCATTCTTTTCCAGATGTTTGGAAACTGGACATTTGGGACGCTGGTCTTCACTGTCATGGTCATCACTGTCACATTAAAGGTAACTCCAGCTGTCAATCAAAGCTCAGTTTAAGCAGTTTATTTGTCATTTGCAATATAAAAAAACACACTGGGTAAAAATTGCACAGGAAGCCTTAAAGTGCACAGTATTCATGTTCAAGTACTGGTACAAAGGTTATACACGTTAACATTTTAGTTAAATTTTTAAATTTATATCGACAAGTGCCCTATCTATTGCCACGTTTACATGAGGGCCTTAATTCCGATAAAAAATAATTTAATTCTGAATAAAAATTAAGTCTGCTTTAAAAAGACCATGTAAACATTTAATTCCTAATGAAAATGATTATTCAGAATTAAACTTAATTCTGAAGTAAGTGGGTGGTTTATTCTGATTTTAAAGCCGAATTCATTTCTTCCTCGATCATGTTTCACGATTATTCTTCTTAAAAATAATGTCGGTGGTTCAGTTCATGTTCGTTGTGTCGTCCTTCTGACGTGATCCGGACAATCCGGCTCCACCAGTCCTGACTTCAGACTTTCCTCCACGTCTCTTTGAATTTGTGAGCGGGGATGTGGGAGTGGGCTGAGGTAGAGCAGCCTCACACTCACTTTGTCTTCTTCCTCCTTCTCCGACACTCCTCCCCAAAAAGCGTGATGAGAGAATTCTCCAGCTGTTGCACAATTATCATCAGAACCACTGCGGGAAAAAGTTTATATCATGTCTGTGTCCATGATGTAATGACAAACTGAGATGACAGAAAAGCCGGTAGCAGCTGAAGTGTGTGTCTTCTTTCGGTCGACGATTGTCCAATCAGAACCCTTCCTCACCCCCAGATGTTGAGCGGAATTAAATAAAGACAATTTAATGTGTTTCCCATCTAAATCTCATTTTGGAATTATTATTTCCATCTAAACCCGAAGGAGAATATTTAAATTCCGACCTATTTAATTCAGAACAATTAATTCAGAATTAAACATCATGTAAACGTGGCTTATGTGTTCTTTTTAAATATTTTGTTGAATTATGTTATGTTTAAGACAATCAATGTCTTCTGGTCCTTTAGTTGATTAATTGGTTGATGGTGTCTTAAACTGGGCTTACACTGTGATTTCATATGATTTTAAGATGTTCAAAATTATTCCCAAAGTCACACTGTGCAGCTGAGTCTCCTATGAAGCGATGATCGTGTACTTGTGCTTTTAGTGAACGAACTAGTAATTTACCCAGTAGTTCTTTTAATAATGTTGGACTGTGCTGGTCAGAATCTAGAGGTTGTCACATCCCTATATTTTATAAAATGTTTGTAATAATTGAAGTTGATTACGTTGAAGTGACTGAAATGGCAAAATTGTACCTTTTATAATGAGTCTTATGGTTGACTGCTCAGAACAGTGACGCAATATACCAGACCAGTAACTGCACTGACATTTAACACTGACAGAAACAGATCTACTAAAGGGGCGGCGTCGGGCTTTCTCTGTCTTTACACAATGAAATAACCTTTACTGTTTCACTATTTTAAGGTCCTGTATTACACAAAACTGACTTTTGTGAGCTTTAAGTCATGTTATAATGTTGTTCCTTTCTTAAGAACAGACCCAGAGTTATGTTTTGTTCACACATGTTTGATTAATCCTGTTTTTTCCTGGCTCTCTGCATTCAGAACAGTTCATATGCCCCGTTCCACCTTGTGATGTCATAACAGGGTAGTTTTCAAAGTTAACAGTCCCTTTTAACTTTTAGTCCAATGAGGTTCATTTGGTCTTCTGATAATTTATGTTATTACCGTATTTTCCCCACAATCCAGAGCACCCCATACACGAATCCACTCGAGTGTCCCAGCACGACTTCAGTAAACTACAAAGCCACACCACCCGCAGAACACACAAACACACACGGAGCAGACAGCGACCGCACAGCGACACACGCCCACAGACACACTCATCACTCCACGCCGACGAGGAACGGAACGAAGGAACAAACTGAAAAAGCGAGTGCAATGTGCCAATCTGAGTCACAACTCAATCAAACTTTATTTATAAAGTGCTTTTCATACAAAACTGTAACACAAAGTGCTTTACAGGGATTAAAAACAATCCCACATTTCCATCCACCCACCAACCCAACCCCCACACCTGCCTGACCCCACACAATCAGACAACCCAAACACACACACACAGTCACACACTCACACACACACACACAAACACGGTAAAATACATAAAACGACACATAGTAAGATGTGAGGCCGAATACAGGCGAACCAGTTGAGAAAGCACCATCAGAGGAGCCGTCTACACCAGGAGCAGAGAGACGTCCACCACCACCAGGAACCACCACAGGGTCCAGGGGAGAGATGAAGCCCAGGCACCTGAGGCCCAAGCACCATCCCTCCACCAGGAGCCCACAGGACAGACCCAGCAGCCACAGCAGAACCCCGCTCCTGATGCACAGGGCTCCTACAGAGGAAACACTGGAAATCCTAAAAATATGTCTAAAATAAATAAATATAATAAAATATATACACTAGAAACAAGTAAAAGTATAAGATTTCATTCAAAAGCTAAGCTAAAAAGGTGGATCTTGAGCCTACTCTTAAAAACATGAACGTTCTCTGCAGCCCTGAGCTCCTCCGGCTGCAGTTCCATAGACTGGAGCCATAGTACTGAAAAGACGCCTCTCCGTGAGTGTGTGTCATCTCGACCGAGCCAGCGGTGCCAGGCAGCACCCTCCCTACACGCCACAACTGTACAAAGACCAGAGTCACCATGAACGCGCCAAACAAAGCCCGACTGACCCATCCAACTGTTGTGTTCTGCTTAAAGTCCGGTGTGGTTTATTTGTGAAAAAAGTTTGAAAATAGACCATTTAATGACAGTGCGTCTTATAACCCAGAGCACCTAATAGCCCGGAAAATACAGTAGTTTCTTTTTTCAGACCAAGAGTTTGTTTTCATATCTGACTGTTTTGACTGCTCACTAGCGGTCTTCTTCAGAGTCACGTGATGTTGCTGTGATGTGTCCGGTCAGTTGATTTGTACAGGTTTTAGCGCTGTCTTCCTTTCGGAGGAGACAGGACGACAGCGCCATCTGCGGTCCAACTTTGTCAGGACAGTATCCCAAGTGTGTAAGAGTAACGAGTAAACAACAAAAGGAACGTCTGTCTCTTAATGCAAGGAACGGAACCTATGTCTGTGTCTTTGTTTGTCTGTTCCACGCGTAACTCTCCACTCATCCGACTGATCTCAAATTCGGAGGGTGTCATCTTAATGGTACAGGTGTGTGCAGTGCCAAGTTTCATGTTGTTAGGACATAAAATGCCGAAGATTTGGTAGGACAGAACGCGAGAAGGATACAGTGAAGGCGAAACACGAGCAACAAAACACAAATCAGAACAGGAACAACTCAGATCTTCCATTTGTGACACTGTAAAAGAGAGAAGCACATTCAGGACTGGGATGGAGCAAACATCACTGGAACAGAGGGAAACAAACATCGTTGTTGGATTAAAGAGGCAATCGAAACACTGAAACATGCTCATGGGACTATAAACCGGGATCAGGGGGCTTTTTTACTCTCACACACCCGGGATACTGTCGTGAGGAAGTGGGACTGCAGATGGCGCTGTCGTCCTGCCTCCACCGGTAGGAAGACGGCGCCAAAACCTGTTTAAATCAATCACACCAACGTCACTTAACTCTGAGGAAGAGCGCAGGGAGCAGTCCAAACTGTCAGGGATGAAAACAAACTCTTTTACCTTTTGTTCAGTAGAGTTTGGAAATCCCAGATCTGAAATTATTTAAACAAATGATTCTCATGACTGAGGTGTGTGGAGTTTTAAACACAATGGAGCACTTCCTGTATTCTTGTATACCACATGACATCACAAGGGGGAACAGGGTGTTTTCTGTTTGAGAGAAGAACTGCAGAGATTGTGTGTTAAACATGTGAATGAAACAAAACACAACTCCAGGTCCGTTTGTGATGAAGAAACATTATAACAGATCAGATAATAGCATAATATGGGCCTTTAAAGCTGCACTCCGTACATTTTCTGCTTGTTACCATGGAGATGCTATTGCTATGTCCGAAAAGTTCTACAGTATGACATTAAATGTTTCTATCTGACTCTTGAATTACATTTTTATTACTGAAAATAACCTTGCGTCCTCACTGTGCTCGGGCTCACCTCTCCATAGCTCTGACTTGTAACTTGGGCGTAACTTTCTTGTTCCCATACAGCTATTTTAATGCCATACTGCGGAACAGTCCGTGTGATGAGAAATACTTGGTGCTGATTCATATTGAAGGAAAGTTTTAAAAGCGTCATCAGTCATTCATTTATTGGTTTAGTCACTAGTTTAATTCAGAAAAGTGCTGAATGAAAAATGCTGCCTTTGTATTTCCAATAAAATCGAACACACTTTTTATTGTTATTAAAATCCTGCAGGCATTTTAATGGCCCCGTAATTTCTGTAGTAATGTTCCTCAGTGTGGCATTAAGTGTATTTAGTGTGGAGAGGCATGCCCGCTCAAAGTAAGAACGCATGATTTTAAAATATATGTTAACTATGAAAGAAACTGTAACTGAATAAATGCAAAGTGTGTTTAAAGGCACATATTAGGCTATTTTCTGATCTGTGTTCTAATGTTTCCTCATCACACACATCAGACCTGGAGAATCCGTGTGTCATTCGTTCATTCGTTTTTCAATATAAAACCAAAAATAAGAAAACCAAAAAAACAACTGTTTTCTTCATTATTTTTCTCCAAAACCAAAATGAAAAAACTGATAACGGCCGTTTCCCGTTTACGTGACGTCCGTGACTGCGATGCCGAACTTTTGCACTGCGTACGGACTGAACCAGGACTGATCCAGGTCCGGGACAAGACAAGAACCAGACCGGAACCAGACCGGGACTGAGACCGGGACCAGACCGGGACTGAGACTGAGACCGAGACCAGACCAGGACCAGAGTGGGACTGAAACCGAAACCGAGACCAGACCAGACCAGGACCAGAGCGGGACTGAGACTGAGACCAGACCAGGACCAGAGCAGGACTGAGACTGAGACCAGACCAGACCAGGACCAGAGCGGGACTGAAACCGAGACTGAGACCAGACCAGACCAGGACCAGAGCGGGACTGAGACTGAGACCAGACCAGACCAGGACCAGAGCAGGACTGAGACTGAGACCAGACCAGACCAGGACCAGAGCAGGACTGAGACTGAGACCAGACCAGACCAGGACCAGAGCGGGACTGAAACCGAGACTGAGACCAGACCAGACCAGGACCAGAGCGGGACTGAGACTGAGACCAGACCAGACCAGGACCAGAGCAGGACTGAGACTGAGACCAGACCAGACCAGGACCAGAGCGGGACTGAAACCGAGACTGAGACCAGACCAGACCAGACCAGGACCAGGAGCAGGGACTGAGACTGAGACCAGACCAGACCAGACCAGGACCAGAGCGGGACTGAAACCGAGACTCAGACCAGACTAGACCAGGACCAGAGCGGGACTGAGACTGAGACCAGACCAGACCAGACCAGGACCAGAGCGGGACTGAAACCGAGACTCAGACCAGACCAGACCAGGACCAGAGCGGGACTGAGACTGAGACCAGACCAGACCAGACCAGGACCAGAGCGGGACTGAAACCGAGACTGAGACCAGACCAGACCAGGACCAGAGCAGGACTGAGACTGAGACCAGACCAGACCAGACCAGGACCAGAGCAGGACTGAGACTGAGACCAGACCAGACCAGGACCAGAGCAGGACTGAGACTGAAACCAGACCAGGACCAGAGCAGGACTGAGACTGAGACCAGACCAGACCAGACCAGGACCAGAGCAGGACTGAGACTGAGACCAGACCAGTCCAGGACCAGAGCGGGACTGAGACTGAGACCGAGACCAGACCAGGACCAGAGCGGGACTGAGACTGAGACCAGGACCAGAGCGGGACTGAAACCGAGACTGAGACCAGACCAGACCAGGACCAGAGCGGGACTGAAACCGAGACTGAGACTGAGACCGAGACCAGACCAGGACCAGAGTGGGACTGAGACCTGGACCAGACCAGGATCAGACCGGGACTGAGACCGAGACAGAGACCGAGACCAGGCCGATTCTGAGACCGGGACCAGACCGAGACTGAGACCGGGACTAAGACTGAGACCAGGCCGGGACCAGACCTGGGCCAGAGCTCAAAGTTGAGGCTCAGAGTCAAAGCTCAGAGTCCGCTCTGGTCCTGCTCTGGTTCCGATCTGGTCCCGGACCTGGATCAGTCCTGGTTCAGTCCGTATGCAGCGCAAAGGTCCGGTATCGCAGTTACGGAAGTCACGTAAACGGGAAACGGCTGAAACGTTTTTTTTTTCCATTCTGCATTTAAACACAAAATGAAAAACTGAAAAAACTAATCGTTATCCATTTTTTTCATTTTGTTTTCGGAGACAAATAAGGAAGAAAGCAGTTGGGTTTTTTTTTCGTTTTCTTATTTTTGGTTTTATATTGAAAAACAAATGAACGAATGACACACGGATTTAGACAGACTAATAAAAAAGCATTTCTCTAACATGTGAATGAAACAAAACACAACTGCAGGTCTGTTTTTGAGGAGGTAACGACATTCTAACCTGCCTTAAAGCTCACCAGAGTCCATTTAGTGTAATGTTGGACCTTTAATGCCGTACTGTGGAACATCTGGGGCCAAGCATCAGCGGTGATAAAATCAATCCTTGCTCCTGATTCATACTGAAGGTTACAGTGTGTTTTAATGGAGGAGCAGAGGAACAGATCTTTTAGTGAGAAATATGGTCCACTGTAAAACTCTGAGTTAGGGTGAAGTCAGCGGCTGTTAACTCCGGGTCAGGAACCTGGGGGCACTTCATTTATGTTTTTCTTGTTTTTTCTCTCTCCTCTTATTCTCTCTATCACACCACCTCTCTCTGTTTAATCTCTCTGCTACCTTCTCCCCTCACTATTGTTCTCCTCCTCTCTCCACGTCACTTTTTCTACCTCTTATTTTCTCCTCCTCTTCTCTTTCTCTCTCCTTCTCTGTCCTCCTCTCCTTCTCTCTTCTTTCTCTCCTCTCTCCTTCTTCTCACTTCCTCCAATCTCTTCTCTCTTCCTTCCTCTCTCCTCTCTCCTCCTCCTCCTCCTCCCTCTCCTTCTCTCTTCCGCCCTTTCCCCTCCTCTCCTTTCTCTTCTCATCTTTCCTCTCCCTCCTCTCTCCTCCTCTCTCCTTCTCTCCTCTCCTGTGTCTCCTCTTCTCTCTCCTGTCTCCCTTCCTATTTTCTCCTCACTCCTCCTCTTCATCTCTCTTCTTTCTCTCCTCTCTTCTCCTCTCCTCCTCTCTCCTCTCTTTCTCTTTCTTTTCTTCTCCTCTCTCCTCTCCTCTCTCCTGTCTCTCTTCCTCCTTTCTCCTCTCTCATCCTCTCCTTTTCTCTTCCTTTTCTTCTCTCTCTCCTCCTCCTCTCTCTTCCCCCTCTCCTCCTCCTCTCCTCCTCCTCTCCTCTCTCTCCTCCTCTCTCTCCTCTCTCCTCCTCTCTCTCTCTCTCCTCCCTCTCCTCCCTCTCCTTCCTCTCCTCTCCTCCTCTTTCCTTCTCTCCTTTCCTCTCCTCCCTTTCCTTCTCTCCTTTCCTCTCCTCCTCTTTCCTTCTCTCTCCTCTCCTCTCCTCCCTCTCTCTTCTCTCCTCTCGTGTGTTCACAGTTGGCGTTGGAGGCTCACTTCTGGACCTGGATGAACCATTTTGTGACGTGGGGCTCCATTGCGTTTTACTTCATCTTCTCGCTGTTTTATGGAGGCATCATCTGGTGAGAGCAGCGTTCACACCATAAACTATTAAAAGGACACAAAACACAACACAAAATTTAAGCTTTCAACCACGTTAAAGTCCTTTTCCTCTCTCATTTTCCCCTCTCAGACTTGTACTTAGAGTGATTTGTGTTTATTTGAGCTTTCGTCTTTTTTATTCCAGATGTCTTTGCTTCATACTCCATTTCTCTCTACTTACTTGATTCTATAATTTTAGTTTCTTTTTTTGTCATTTTGGCACAAATAGAAAAAAGTCTGCTACTTTCTGGCGTGATCCAACAGTGCGACTCTTTGTTGTGATGACGTTTACTGCAGTGTTAACTCTAAACCGCAGAAATCAACTGTTGTATAGGCGAGTTTCAGCTGACGTCATTGTTATTAAAAGCCCGCGTTGCATGCTGGGAAATATTTTGGTCGGAGGCAAGAAACACGGTAGCGTCAAACACAGTGTGTAACCTCGCGTATTTCTCCCCGATAATGGTAAATTCCTGCTGCATTATCGGATGCACAAATAGAAGCACGGAAGAAGGAAAATGTCTTTTTCGTATTCTGAGTGAAAAGAACCACTAACGGTGAATTAAACGACTTTCAAACATCCGCAGAGCAAACGTAGAAGATCCTAACAAACCGTGGACTCCAACAAGTTCAACAACACATCGAGACTCTTGGAGGTTTTCATCTTTTCTGCTGTGAATGGCCCAGGAGTTTCCACCAAGTCATTGTGGATATCGACAAAGTGAATATTTGTCCAGGTAGTTGGCGATTCTGACCAGAAATTTGGTTTGGTCCACCTTTTGTCGGGGTTGAAAAGGGTGATTTGTCGTCCGTCGATGCTTATGACCAATTTCTGGTCAAATGGTCTTGGGTCCTCTGCCGTTAGAGTGGATAAATAACCGGGATCAATACCCTTTACATCAGGGGTGTCAAACTCATTTTGGTCCGGGGGCCGTATCCAACCTACTTTGATCCTAAAGGGGCCGGATCAGAAAACTCATGACATATAAACCCCAAAAACAGCAATAAGTTCAAATATTTGTGCAGAGAAACACAACTCTATTACAGAAATCTTTCTTTTACACTCTTTCTTTTACAAAATATTATAATATTATGAGAAAAAATGCTATTTCAACACAATGTTTTAACATGAACTTGTATGTAAATAGGAATAAGTCAATTTTGGTTGTAAAATCCTGCACTCTGCTCCACTTTTCTATTTTTGACATTTTTCTGATGAGGGTGTCACGGTCAACAGTCAAAACGATCGTCCTTTAAGAGCGTTTGGAAAGAGACAAGTCTTCATTTGTGCTGCTCTGGTGGGAGGGGCCACGTACAGAGACGCTGGAGACGCTGCTCTGCTAAGCTGAACAGAAAATTACCAATATTTTAATAGAAAATATGATTAAAATATTTTAGTAGAAAATCAGCCGAGGGCCAGATTAAAGGTCTTGGAGGGCCGGATCCGGCCCCCGGGCCTTATGTTTGACACCTGTGCTTTTCGTGCTTTCTCGCTCCGTCCGTCATGTTGAATTAGTGTTTCTCGCCTCCGACCAAAATAATTCCCAGCATGCAACGCGCACTTTTGTCAACAATGAAACTCGTCTATTGGACAGCCTGACTCAGAATGAACATTAATTTAAAAACGTAATATTAATTAAATCTTTTCATTCCCATTTATGGCCCAGAATAAAATACAGCAGAAATATGAGGCTTTTCCACAAACTGTACAAGAATCTCCAGTCTGTGTGGATAAATCTGTCACTGGAGCCACATGTGAACAGACCCAGACCCATCCACACTCACACGTCACTTTGACTTTTACTCACACTGTTTCTGTTTATTTCACACTACAGCTGCAGCAACAAACCTGAAACAATGATATATATGAGTCTGGTCAAGTGGTAACGGAGGGAAACAGGGGCAAATTTTTGACATTCAAATGTTTCAGAAACTAGTATTAAAGTATCAAAGTATCAAAATGTAGGAAAAGAGTTACACTCCAACAGGGTCAAGTTAAACCTGTGATATTCTTTCAAGTTGTTGACTAAAAATTTTAAAACTCATTTTGGTAACGGAGGGAATGAAATATGCAGCACTTTTTGGGCAATAAATCCAAACAGTGATAACTCTTGGTTCTCACTTCCATATCCTTAACAAACTGGTTTGAATATTTGCTTCATATAGTTTTCTACCATATGGTACAAGATTAGGTTGAAAAACCTCTTACTTTTTGACTCATGAAATTTTTTATTAAGAAAGGTCATGGTAACGGAGGGAAAATTGTGCAAGCAAGTAGAAGGTGCATGATTTTACATAATTTGTCAACTTTTTTTCTTCCGAATACTTTAATATTACTTCAAAATGAAAGGAAACTATTTCTATAAAATATGTCAGTACTTCCAAGCAAATTTTTATCATTTTAAATACTTTTTTTTTTTTTTAAATCCTGTACCTTCATCAACAGTTCAAAGATGGAATAACACAAGATATGATGAAATACATCCATTTATTTACATGATTTGCAGATCTTTGAAATTTGGGAAATAATTTTTGTTCCATGTTTCATACATGGTCTGTTTAAAACGTATGGAACTTTAGAACTAAAACTGGTACAGAAAAAAACTGTTTCATAAACTAGAGTACATATGTATCTGTTGAATACATTTTTATATCAGATGCATTAAGTTGAATTTTTTGGCCTTGCTTGTTTTTTACTTCAATTAAGATTTCATAAATATGTAAAAAGCTGGAAAACCTGTTAAACTGAAAAGAAACAAATAAAAACATTTATTTAACTACAGCTACACTGAATAAAAATGCTAAGGTGTTTTTGTTTTGTTTTTTTAAGCCTGAATGTTACATAAAATTTGACCTTTAAGTAGAACAGACCTGAAGTTGTGTTTTGTTTCATTGACATTTGAGAAATCCTTTACTATGAGCCTGTCTACATCTTCAAAAATCAAAATGCTGTGTTCCATCTTGTGATGTCATGAAGTGGTAGTGTTCACATTAACTGCTCCTTTTACCTTTAGTTCAGTAAAGCTTGGCAGTTCCAGGGGCTAAAATTATCCATACGATTCTAATAGAGTTATTATGATATGACATCACAAGGTGGAACAGAGTATTTTCCGTTTGAGAGAAAAGCTGAATTTGCAGATTTGTGTGTGAAACATTTGTGAATGAAACAAAACACAACTCCAGGTCTGTTTGTGATGAGGAAACAACATTATTACATAAATAAAACAGGTCATAAAATAGCTTCATATAGTTATTTGACATTACAACTGTCTGATACTCCCAGATCTACTCTGTGGAGATTAAATATAAGTTGATTGAATAAAGAGAACACTATAAAAGAGTTTAAAAATAATAATAATAAAATTGCAGGGTGGATTGAGGACAATGACTGTGGTCTGGGATACAATCAAGACTGAGCTGTACTCATTTTGAGGCCGGCATATTTAAAGAAGAAGAAAAAAGCAACATATGATAATTTGGAAAAAAGATTTAAGACTTCTTGAGCTCAAATTACAACACAACTGTAAAGATAAAAACTTGCTTGGAAAAATAAAAGCCACCAAAGATAAAATAAACAATATTGTCCAGGAGGAACTGGTAAAAGATTCAGATTTTGTAAACAAACTTTCTATGAGTCGGGTCCAAAAGCAACAAAAAAATTTAGCAAAATAGCTTCAAGGGATAGTTTGGGATTTTTGACATAAATCTGTCTGTCATCCCTGTGAGCAGTGTCGTGCATCCACACTGACTTACCCCCGACAGCGTCCGGTGAGTCCGAGATACTGGCCGTTTTCGGTGCTGACGAAAGTAGTCCAACAAGTTGACTGGGGACTGTATAATAAAGTGTTTTTCTTCTCAAAACAATCTGTGTTCAAAAGAGTGATACATTTGCATCACAAAACCATCGTCGCCTAAAAAGTCAGACCTCATAATCGCTTGGCACTATTTTCTTTCCGTTCATATCACTGCGCGCGGCCGCCAGGTGACAGCCGCGCCTGGTTCACTTTGTTTACTGCTCGGAATGTTAGCGACAACATGTTTGATTACGACATCGACAATAAAGACTTTGCCTTTACCACAAAGACAAGGGGAGATCTTTATGAACCCGAATATACTGATGCCGAAATTCACCAGATGGAGTTAGAACGAGCAGAGAGAGAAGAGAGACAGAGAAGTGGTACAAGTTGAAGCTGGAGTCGTGAGAGACCGAGTGAGCGACAATCACCATCATGTCATTTATAAACTCGTACACAGTGAACATAGAGTCTACACTGTGACTGAAGCATGGACGACTAATAGAAACATAGAATCATCCACACGTCCACGTCGCTGCTGCCAACAGTGTACGCCACATTTACAATAGTAATAACAGTCGACTTATAAAGTTACGTTTTGTAGAAGCTTCACTGGTGACATGACACTGAGTGATTTACTGCACACAGAGTTACAGCTGATTCTTGAGTCTGTTCTCTTGTAAATATAGCAGCACTTCTTTGTTCTTACCTGGTTTGGTTTCCACATTGAAGCCAAAGTTTCCTCAGCGCAAAGTCCGTGACAGAAAAACGGTGACGTGTGTGGAGATTCAGCCAGATTTTTGTTGTTACAGCCTGGAGAATCAAGAGTTCGCACCATTTTTTAGATATAATCTTATGTATCTTATACAAGCTTATATACTTATCGCTCTAGCTCTCACGTTAGCTCTCTCGCGTCGCGGTGGTCTGCTCATGTAAACACTGCTGAACAACTGCACAAAGTGATGGATTCGTGCGCGCAGTGATACGAACGGAAAGAAAATAGTGCCAAGCAATAAAGAGGTCTGACTTTTTAGGCGACGATGGTTTTGTAATGAAAATGTATCACTCTTTTGAACACAGATTGTTTTGAGAAGAAAAACACTTTATTATACAGTCCCCAGTCAACTTGTTGGACTACTTTCGTCAGCACCGAAAACGGCCAGTATCTCGGTTCACTGGACGCTGTCGGGGGTAAGTCAGTGTGGATGCACGACACTGCTCACAGGGATGACAGACAGACTTATGTCAAAAATCCCGAACTATCCCTTTAATGTAGGTCCTTTAAAGACACTTTGTTGTAAATACTGTATAATCCTTTATAATATTTCCTCTTGTTTGTCCTCCAGGCCGTTCCTGCACACACAGGACATGTACTTCGTCTTCGTGCAGCTCCTGTCCAGCGGCTCTGCCTGGTTCGCCATCTTCATCATCGTCATCACCTGCCTCTTCCCTGACGTCATCAAGAAGGTGTTCTACAGACACCTGAAGCCCACCAACACCCAGAAGAGCCAGGTACAGCTCTCCAAGAGAACCATGTTCCACCAGGTTCTTTAGTCTACCAGTTTTCATTAGATTTTTCTCACTTTCTATGACTTAAAGGTGCACTGTGTAACTTTTTGCTTTGGTTGGGGGTCCGTCACCTGCTTGTTTCTATGGATATGTTATTGTTCTAACTCAAGGGTCGGCAGCCTTAAATAATCAAAGAGCCATTTGGAGCATCTCCCAGAGAAAAGAACACAACCAGAGCCACAAAACCGTTTTGACTCTAAAATGAGGAGAACACTGCATCATGTTTTAACTGTGTGCTCTGTATAAAAAAAATATATATAGTGTGTCGCATTTATGAAATCATTGAAATGCTACAGAGAACACGGAATTTTATTTCTGCACATAACAAAAACATTTTGAACTCTGACACTTGGTTGATGCTTATTTCAGGTGAAATACTCAAGTCGTCATCGTAGGAAATAAAAATTCAAACTTAAATTATTCACCCGCAGTGAACCAAAAAGTCCGTCTGCTTCTGAGTTCCATCATCATTTTATCGTGTGAACCTCGTGTCTCATCAATCGTAAAAGCAAATGAATCTGCCCAAGTAGCATTAAACATTCTGTTTTCTTCAGAAACTTTTCTTTTCTTGGATTTATTCATCTTTTATCTACCAGGGGTCGATAAACTCAGTAAATCATACTGCTGGTGTAGGTGCCGGTAAGTACAGGCTCAGATCTGTGCCGGGTGTCGCACATCAGCCGCTGTGACGTACATTTTCAGATTAAAAACATTTTATTTTAATGTTATAAGATTACAATTATCTGCAAATTTAGAATTATATTTAAAAATGACCAAACTAAAATAAAAAAAATACATTGTAATTAAATACTCATTATTTATTTTACACGTCACAGGGAGCCACAACACAAGGATGAATGAGCCACATACGGCTCTGGAGCCACCCCTCCTGTAACTGGAATATTCCACAGTGTGACATTAAACAACTACCTTATATTTATTCAATCACAAGTGGTTTTATAGCTCAAAAATACCTACAGAAACAGGCATGCTGACTGTGAGGGGTCACCTCTCCACAGATCTGACCTGTACCTTGGTCTGGTTTGGTCTCCATGAAGATAGAACGGTTTAATCCCATACTGTGAAACATCCAGACAAAGCAAGACGAACCCTCCACCAAAAAAGTTACACAATGCACCTTTTAATATACAGGGTTTTGTTCAAAGTTCCATTTTTCTTAAAGCTCTGTGTTTCTGTGTTAAAGTAATGTTTATTTCTAGGTACCATTTTGTAACGATTCAACGGCTGTTGATTGGTTACTTAAAAATTGTTAGAATCTAGGCTTTTTTATAATATTTTCTTTCTAGTAGTATGAAGGAAAGAGTGAGAAGGAGAGAGAAGGGGCGGGGAGAAAATAGTAAAGAGATTAAACAGAGAGGAGGTGTGAGAGGTAGAATAGAGAAGAGAGAGGAATAAGAAAAACATGTTCATTTTTTTAATCTTAATATGCATAATCATTCTTAAAGTTTTATATTTCCAAAAGTAGGTGTGGTTTAAAGGTGCACAATTATGATCATACTGTATATTGTAAAGGTTTAAAAACAGATGCATGTGTCAGTTTTATTATTTTATATTAGGTCAAGTATATTTCTAGTCGTGACTGTAACATGAAGCAAAAAGACATAGGATCCACTAATATAAAATGATCAAAGAGAATATTTATAGATCTCTTTTTGAAATGACCCGTGTTATGATAAATACATCCCATAATATATATTTGTGTAACATGAGCCTGTGTGATGTGGAGCTGATGTCACTGTTATTTTCTGTCTTTTTGTTAAACTGAACCTTTTCCAGGATGGTCACAGGGCACATGGCGCATTACATCATCCTCACACACACTCACGTGCACTCTCTCTCCCACGTGCACTCCCTCATGCACTTTCTCTTGCGTGTGCATTCTCTCTCTCTCTCTCTCTCTTGCACGCTCACCTTGGAGCCGTCTCAGTGACTCGGTCGATTTCTTGGGGAGTGTTTATGTCGTAGTCGTCTGCATCTTTCCCTCTTCACTGTGTTTTCTGCTCCTTTGACCCGTCCAGACCCGATGAGCTCTGTCTGATCTATCTCGAATGTTCTGAGGCGAAAATGTCACTTGAACAATTTGCAGCTCAGATATATTATTATAATGCAAGACAAGCCTCGCCTCGCCGCACTCTAGTCATTCACTCTGTACACAGTGTTGGTAAGCGACTTCAGTAACCACAACTGCCCTGGGACAGACAGACTGAAGTTTGGCTGTTAATTTGCAACATATGCCCCTCCGACCACCACCAGCACTCTCACACTCACACACTCCACATTTAAAACAGGAAAGGAGGGTGAAATGCCTTGCACTTGGGCCTAGTCAAGCAGAAGTAAACAGCAAGGTCAAAAATTCAAGTTAATGCATCTGATATAAAAATGTATTGAACAGATACATATGTACTCTAGTTTATGAAACTGTTGACCTTTTTTCTGTACCATTTTTAGTTCTAAAGTTCCATACGTTTTAAACAGACCATGTATGAAACATGGAACAAAAATTATTTCCCAAATTTCAAAGACCTGCAAATCATGTCAATAAATGGATGTATTTCATCATATCTTGTGTTATTCCATCTTTGAACTGTTGATGAAGGTACATGATTATTTTATTTTTTTTATGTATTTAAAATGATAAAAATTTGCTTGGATGGACTGACATATTTTATAGAAATAGTTTCCTTTCATTTTGAAGTAATATTAAAGTATTCAGAAGAAAAAAGCGACAAATGATGTAAAATCCTGCACCTTCTACTTGTTTGTACAGTTTTCCCTCCGTTACTTTTCCCTCCGTTACCATGATCTTTCTTCATAAAAAATCTCATGAGTCAAAAAGTAAGAGGTTTTTCAACCTAATCTTGTACCATATGGTAGAAAACTATATGAAGCAAATATTCAAACCAGTTTGTTAAGGATATGGAAGTGAGAACCAAGAGTTATCACTGTTTGGATTTATTGCCCAAAAAGTGCTGCATATTTCATTCCCTCCGTTACCAACATGAGTTTAAGAATATCACAGGTTTAACTTGACCCTGTTGGAGTGTAACTCTTTCCTACATTCTGATACTTTACTTATTTCAATAGTTCCTCTAGTTTCTGAATAAGAGACATTTGAATGTCAAAAATCTGCCCCTGTTTCCACTTGACCGGACCCACTTGCACTTGTATGTCCAGGGCTAGGACATATTCAATAACGTAGAACTAAACGAGAGCTGAAAATCGGGTCTGAACAGGTCCTGTGGGGTGTGTCCTCTAACCCTCCTAACCTGTGACCTCTGACCTCTGCCCTCTGCTCTCCCGCTGCTGTCCTGTGTGTCTCACGTAGATGTACTCCAACCGCGTGGCCATAGGGGACGACTTCATCGCTCTGCAGCCTCTGTCCAGAGCCAAGAGCCAGCTCGGCAAGATTAGGTAGAAAAGACCGGCCGCTGCAGCCCCTGTGCTCCCCAGACCACAAACCCGATCCGTAACATGACCCCAGAGCTGTGCTGAGAGGAGTTATCTGTTTAAAGAGCGTAGTAGTTAGTTTAAAGTGCACGTATGACGCTATTTTCTGATCTATGTTCTAATGTTGTTTCCTCATCACAAACAGACCTGGAGTTGTGCTTTGTTTCATTTTCACATGTTTAAAAGTAAAACACAAACCCTGCACATTCTCTCAAACTGTTCCACCTTGTAATGTCATGTGGTAATAGAGGAAGTGCTCCACTGTGTTTTTAAACTCCATACAGCTTCACTAGAATCATTTGGATCATTTCAGTCCTGGAATTGCCAAACTCTACTGAACAAAACAAAGGTACATGTTCACTTGAAAACTACCACTTCATGACATCACAAAGTAGAACAGAGCATTTTGAGCTTTGGAGATGTAGACAGACTTTCTCAAACGAATGAATGCAGGGTAGCCTTGGGGACTTAAAAATCTTTAAAAGGTCTTAAATTTCATGTTCCTAAATTAAGGCCTTAAAAAGTCTTAAATTATATTGTCCAAGTCTTATTTTTTTCACAAAGGTTTTAAATTTCACTAGCCTATTTTTTTGGTTACTCAACCAGGCTGCAGTGCAATGTTAAATGGAGGGAGGAAACATGAAATCACGTCACATGAATGAACATCTAATTTGGAGTATGAGCAAACAATACTTAGTTGGTCTTGTTAGAATGTTATAAATGTTTTTTGGCCATTTTACAAGCAATGCACATGACTATAAATCAGTTCTGAATGAGATTTTATAATACTTTGTTTTTGTTTTTTAAAGCAGGGAGTAACGGTCATTATTAGAATTGGATCTCAAGTTTTTTGTCTGCATAATGGGTGCGATGTTGGTCGTAATTTTCATTTAAGTGGTCTTATAAAGGTCTTTAAAAAGTCTTAAATTTGGGGTAGTCAAACCTGAGGATACTCTGGAATGGAACAAAATACAACTCCAGGTCTGTTTTTGATGAGGAAATAACATTATAACATGTTTAAAATCTCACAAGAGTCCATTTTGTCTAATCTTGGAGCTCTGTATCAGCACAGCAAACTGGGGACATAATGTGTAAAATTCAAATGAGATTTTAAAGGGGTATTCTGCTTCTTCTATTCAGACCATTTCTAATCAAACTTTAGCTACTTTTGGAAGTTTAGTTGAGCAGATTTAACAGCAACACCCTAAATATGTTATCCGAGTTATAAAAATGGTATTATCAGCAAAGGCCCATCTGGTTCTAACTTTTCCGTTGTTAAGTTGATTCATCGTCAGTGCCGTCATGGTCCACTAATTATCTTATCTGCATTACGAAAACTTTATGTGGATAACAGCGGACAGGAGAATGAAATGAATGTGAATTTACTCTGCCTTTTTGAGTGAGTGCGACGTTATCCACAGTGTTCGGCTCCAGTCAAATGAAGCTCATCGAGGCTTGAAGTTATCGGAGCGAAT